AACAGAAACTAATAAATTCCCCTTTTCAAATTTATCCACTGTGCACAGATGAATGAAAGTTTCTTGCAGCGTGTCTCTATCTGCATTTGTGGCTGTGTGTGGGTGTATCTGGGCAGGATATAAACACACTAATTCAGACATCAATGTTGAAAGCCTTTTAGGTGGATGGAAACAGCTCCAATTTCTAGTCTTTAAAGTTTCGAAAGTACTGTCCTCCCAACAAACCTCTGAAGTGGGTAGTGTAAGTTTGCCAGTCCCTTCTTGCAGGAGATGAAACAAGATCAGAGAAGTTAAGTCATTTGTTCAAGGTGACACAGCCAGAGAGTAAAGCCAAGATCTGAACTCAACCATCACTCGACTCTAAGTCCAGCATTCTTTTTGTTATGGCTCCCTCCCTCTGTAGATAATAGTGAAAAATCCAGGAAATGACCATTACTTATATTTATGTAGCACTCACAACAGCCTTGTGAGGTAGGTAGAGTAAAAATTATCATCCCCATTTTACAGATGGGGACGCTGAGGCTTTAAGAGTTCAAGTGCCTTGCCCAAGGTCACTCAGTTAGAAAGCATCTGAGTTAGGAATCAAACTGAGGTCTCTGGACTCCCAGTCTTTCCATTTTTCCATGTTACCTATGAAGGAAAGGTAGTTTGTGCCTTATTTTACAAACAGAGGCATTCAAAGTGACTGCATCAGTACTTTGATATAGCAATTGCTCTAAGCATTTGAAGGCGTCACTAAGGAACCTGCTCGTTATGATTTGAAAAGTGGAATCTGCTTAGATCTACTCTTCTTGTTTGTCTTTCCTGTGATTCCCTGCCCCTCCCCCTTCCATTACATACTTCAAAAATAATACTGACAGGAGAAGAAGAGAATATGTGTAGCAGTGAGGAGTAAGAGAACTATATTCCTTGGTCTTGGTGATGGTGGGATGCTGTGGCATTCCATGGGCTGGTTCAATGGAGTGAGCCTCAAGGCCTTTTAAAGAGTTGTACTGGGAGGCAGCTAGGTGGTGCAATAGATAGAGCACCCACCCTGGAGTCAGGAAGACCTGAGTTCAAATCTGGCCTCAGACACAACACTTTCTAGCTGTGTGACTCTGGGCAAGTCATTTAACCCCAATTGCTGCACTAAAAAAAAAAAAAGAATTGCATTGGAATGAAAGATTATCTTTACACTCCTCACATCCTTCTGGGCTAATGTAAGTCATTAGTGCTGCCTGCCACTGAAAACAGAATGGTAAGTAAAAGCAGGGGAGAAGAGCAGGACAGGTTAATCAGACAGAAATGAATAAGCAGAAGGGTAATGTATGACATGTGGAAATCCCGAGACTGCAGGAACCAACTAAACACTGAAATAAGAAAAGAACTTGGGGGGAGGGCATGCAAGGGGGTGGGGTATCCATTCAGTCAACAACCATTAAGAATATTCCAGGCACTAAGTGCTAGCTAGAGATAGAAATAAAAGCAAAAACGTGATCTGTTCTCTCATGTAGCTCACATTTGAATGGGGTGCAAACAACAAATATCTGTGTATGCAAGATATATACAGAGGAGATGGAAGGTGATCTCAGAAGTCAGGAGAAACTGGTGGGGGAGGAGCAGGGGAAGGAAAGGCCTGAAAAGGCAGGGTCCAGGAGGCAGAGATGAGCAGGGAGGCATTGGAGGCATGGAGGACAGCCAGGGAAAAGGCATGGGGTTCAGATTATCTTGTCTAAGGAGCAGCAAGTAGCCCAGTGGAGCTGGATTTTAGACTGTGAAGGGGAATAAAATTTAAGAGGACTGCAAAGATAGAAAGAGGCTAGGCTGAGAAGGCTGTTAAGTGCCAGACAGAGGATTTTTATTTGATTCTTGAGGTCATAGGGAGGCCTGGAGTTTAAATAGGGGCTTGCTACAGCCAGAACTCCTACATTCCTCTTATGTGAAAAGGTATGACAATCCTTCCAGTCATTTAGGTTGAAACTTTGGTGTCATCCTTGACATTAAGAGATTACGAGATATCACTTTGGCCACTGAATGGAGGAAGAATTAGGGCAGGGAGAGACTAGAGGCAGAGAGAACAGTTAGAAGGCTATTCCAATAATCCAAGCAATGAGGCTCTGTATACAAGTGAAGTGAGTGGAGAGAAGGGAACTTACATAAGAGATGCTGTGACGGTAAAATGACAAGATTTGACAATGTTTATGTGAAGTGAGTGAAAGCCAGGGGTCAAGGACGACGCCAAAGTTTCGAGCCTAAATGACTAGACTGATTGTTGTGCCCTTTTGCATTATAGGAAATTTAGAAGCAAGGGGTTTGGAGGAAAAGACAATGAGTTCTCTTTCAGCGTTTAAGAGGCCTACAAGCCATCCAGTTGTAGCTATGCAAGAGATGGGGACGTGGGATTAGAGCTTAGGAGTAAAGCTTGGCTGAATATATAGATCTGAGAATTGTCTGCATTGGGATGATAGTTGAACTCACAAGACACTACATCATGGGCTGCTCCAACCAAGCAGCAAATGCATCTGGAAACTTGTAAGATTCACAACTGAAAGAGAGTGTTGATTGAAAATCCAGGGATTTTTTAAAAAAGTAATATTCATTCTAATATGTATGTAAATTCAAATGTCTTTTCCTTTTTGCTTTTCAATTTTTGAAAAGTGAGTTATCTTTAATAGCCCAGGTCATTTGGTGAGCCACCTATTCTTTCAGGGGAAGGGGTGGGGGATGTGATGTACTTTTTTTTTTTGTACGTTTTTTTTTTGTCACACGTGTTTTTTGGTTTGAAGCAGGTTGTAAAGTTAAAAGCATAAGTGCTGTTGTCATTACTAAAATATTTTAGTGTATGCTGCACTCATAATATCTCCTATGAAAGTTCATGTCATCCCTTTTAAAAAAAGATCCTGCCTGTAGGATATCACCAATTGAGATAGTCCAGAGGGAGGAAAGAAGAGGACCCAGGACAAAGTATTAGAGAATACCTAGGATTAGTGACCTGGATAAAAATCCATCAAATGAGATTGACAAGATAGGATAGATGGAAGGAGAAACAGGAGAGAGAAGTGTCATGAAAACCAAGGGAGGAAAGAGAAATTAGTGATTAATGGTATCAAAAGCTGCAGACAGGTCAAGAAGGATGAAGATTGATATAAAGCCATTAGATTTGCCAATTAAGAAATATCCAGTGACTTTGGAGTGAACCATTTTATAAATTTGAATGCCTTGTTATTAAGCATTTAAATGGAGGAGGAGATAGAGGGAAGACTCACTGGTCTACTTGACTTACTCCTAATAAGATCAGTAGAGGTATAGGAGGCAGCTAAGTGGCATAGTGGATAGCGTGCTGGGCGTGGAGTCAGGAAGACCATATTCCTGAGTTCAAATCTGGCCTCAGACCCTTGCTACCTTTGTGACCCTGGGTAAGTCACTTAACCCTGTTTGCCTCAGTTCCTCATATGTAAAATGAGCTAGAGAAGGAAATGGGCAAGAAAACCCCAAACAGGGTCACAAATAGTCAGACACTACTGAAAAAAATGACTGAACAACAACAGATGGCTCAATGGATAGAGTGCTGAGCTTGGAATCAGAAGACCTGAGTTCAAATTTGGCCTCACTTACTGGTCATGTCAGCCTGGGCAAGTCACTTAACCTCTGTTTACCTTAATCCACTGGGGATAGAAATGGCAAACCGCTCCAGTACCTTTGCCAAGACAACCCCATGGAGTATATGATCCACAAGGTCACAGAGTCAGACACGACTGAATGACTGAACAGTAATAAGAGGTATAGCAGAAAACACAATGATCTGAGAAGGCCTGGGTTCAAATCTTGGATCTTACACTTACTAGCTGTGTGAACCTTGGCCAAATCAGTTAACCTTTCTGGCCTTAACTCTATACTATCCAAAATGGCAGGCAGGGGTGGGGGGCTAAATAAGAGAACTATTAAGAACTCTTTCACATTTTACAATTCCAATGTTTTTTACAATGCTAACATTTTATGATTTAAAAGTTTGATTTGATGGAATTTATATAATTGAGCAATTAAATATTCCAGTTCTGGCATGGCCAATAGTCATGGCATTAAGTAGGTCCAACAATGGTAGGTGTCCTGTTTTCACCTTAGTAGAATATTTCCCATGGCACCTGTGTTTGCCGATTCCCTTGAAATAACTTAAGCTCCCTAGCAAAGGAGAACATTCTCAGGGTATTAGGAATCCTATTCTTTCATCTGTTGAACTCACAATAGTTTGTCCTTGGTGATAAGACAGGTTTCATGTCTTAGGGAGTTCTTTGCTTGTCAGCCTCAAAAGATCCAGGGGACATGTCATTATCAGGTCAGAATCTCTGCTGAATACAGGAAAATCTTGTCTCTGAAGATGTATCCACATTTTATGGTTATTGAGGTATTATCAGCACATTGTGTCAGAGTGAAATATTTCCAGGTCCCTGCAACGGTTGATTATAAAAACAAAACAAAACAAAAACAATGCTAGGGAGCTAGAAGAGACCTTGGCAAAAGAATGTATAACACCATAATGTTAGAGCTGGGATGGATCTTAGGGATTATCTAATCCAACACTCATTTGAAAAAATGAAGAAATTTTCTCTGAAGAACCATAAATTTCAATATCAAATTAATATTTGCTAAGTGCTTTCTTTCCAACAGCCACGCGAGTTGTAGATGTCATTGCCCTGTGCTACAGATGAGGAAAATGAGGCTCAGTATCTGAGCCCAAATCCAAGTTCTGCATACTAGCTGCTAGGGATGTCCCTGAGCCCCAAAGGTAGAGAAATGCCTTTCTGAAGGTCACATGGTGCCTTGATAGCAGGGAGCTAGAAGTGGAGCACGGCTTCTGATATGCAATCAAGAGCTCTCTCCACTGACCTACACCACCTTTCGTTGACAAAGGCTACCTGGCTGCATTTGGTTTGCATAATTCATATTTGTTGAACTGAATTGAATTGAATTGGGCAAATATTCTTCATCATGTTTTACTTCATTCCACAGGCCACTGATTCATTTCTATTCTTTGGTTGAAAACCATGCTTGCATTTGTCATGATGAGTATGTTGATGTTGCCAATTGCTGGTAAGCGAATATCCTTTTTTTCCAAATCCATCATAGAGTAAGATACCTTACTCGCTTAAAAGATGTCCTTTTAAATGAGGTCTTACTTTTGTTGGGAGGATGGGGAGGGGAAAGGACTAGGGAGAAAGGGGTGGTACTTTAAGTGTGAATGCAGAAAATATTTTCATGCATATCGGAAGTGCATGATGGACATAAATGACTTCTGCATTTGTGGCCTACCTTCCTGAAGGCCCAAACTCTCAGGCCAATAGAGAAATTATACTGGGACCTCTCTCTACTTGTGCATTATAATAAGAGCTCATAATTATATTCTTCAACACTTAAAGAGGATCTGAACTCATTGGTGTGGATTCTCCTCCTCTCTTTCATACCTTAGCAGATGGTTTCATATGACAGTTTGCTGTGAAAAAAAAAAAAAGAAAGAAAACAAGTTATTCTGGTAGCCAACCAACTTCCTTGTGATAAGCCTCCCCAAACATATTTTGGGCTAGTCCTCAAACAACAGAAACACATCAGGTTCAGAACTCAAGATTTTCCATTACGAAAAATGATCTGCCAGTGCAGCCCCAGTCTTTGCGGCTTCTCTGTAACACAAAAACAACAGTGCTTATCCTGGTCACCACCTAACTTGTGGTGAGGATCGAATAAGAAGAAGGATGTGAAAGGAGGCAGTATAGTACAATGGAAAGGGTATTCTCTTGAAAGTCAGAAGGCTCAAATCCTGCTTTTAACATCAACCCTGTGATTGACCCTGAGCAAGTCACTTAATTTGCCTGGGCTCCAATTTCCTCGTCTGTATAATGGGGTGGGAGGGGTTTACCAGGTGGGCTCTGGGGTCCCTTATAGCTCTAGACCTATAAAAGGGCTTTGGAAAATATGACAAGGTCTACGAACATAAGATATTGTTATGTAAAACTTGTAGAGTTTTTAAATTAATTTTTAGCTCTACAAATTATCTACCTTATCTATCCATTCACCAGTTTAACTAAACTATCTTGATTTCCCCATCTCTCTCTGACCATAGTGTCACCAAAACTGAACTAATTGTACAACTTCTTTCCAAATGAGCCACCCTTGATCAATAAATACATTGGATCCAAACTCCTACACCGTTCACTGGCATAGTCACCATGCCTCCACACAGCATACTCCCTCCTACCTCTCTGCCTTTAGTTAGGTTATTCTCTCTGCATAGAAAGCCCTCTATTTTCCTCTGTGCCTGTCTTAATTCAACATGGATTAAGATCTTTCAAGTCTCACCACCTCTAACATTCAGTTTAATTCAACAAATGCTTATTAGCATAAGTGCCTACTGTTGAAATATGAGAACCAGGTTAAGAGTCAGGAAGAACTTGGTTCAATTTCCATTTCTGAAACGTACTGGCTGTATAGTCAATTCATTTAAGCTTTCAGTAACAGGCAGCTCTCAAAGTCTGTAAGCTACAGATGAATTGCTATCTATATCAGTAAGGGTATCTCCTTACTGGGAGGTCCCTATGCCAGGTAAAATCACAGGTCCAGACCTTCCAAAAATGTTCAAGGCATTGTCTTGGTGCTGAGTATGCAAAGACAAAACAAATAAACAGTATTTTCCCTCAAGTAACTTGTATTGTACTGAGGAATGGGCAGGGATAATGAATACAAATATAAAGTCTCCTCCAAATACTTCAGACTGCATTGGTCTCTTCTTCTCTGAACTAGAATCAGAGAAACTTCAGAGTTAGAAGAGTTCTTTGAGGTTAAAAGAAAATAATTTAACCAGCAAGAGATCTGAATAGCTTCTTGCTACAAACATTCCAAAACCAGAACATCAAAAAAAAAAAAGGAATTATATACCAGATAATAGAGCCATCACATCTGAATCCATGAGATAAGAAGGTAGAACTCCTCCTCTGCATAAGGTAAAAACTCCATGAATTAACTCTGGAGAACTGAGGTTCTTACTCAGCACTCTTATACACACACACACACACACACACACACACACACACACACACACACACACACACCCTCCAATCAACTCCACATGCCCACTGAAGTGAGCACAAGGAAATTCACAACGTTATAACTCAGGCTGTTTCTGTAAGGATACCACATAGCAGGGACTCTGCCCAAATCCCTCCCTGATCTAACAAGAAACAGAAGACAGTGAATTTACCCAGTCTCAAAGGAAAGAAAAATGATGACCAGATGAAAGTCTTGCAGGAGGACAAGAGATGTGGCACATTTGGTGCTCTGAGTTACAGTAGGACAACATTGCATCAAGCCTCAAAGAGGAGACTAGAAACCAGCTGGGCTTGACAAGCTACGGTTGTCAAGACTAGGTGTCTCACAACCTAGTCTAATGCCTTTGACTGGATGATGATAAATAGAGATATTTAAGTCCATCCAGGGAGATGTTCTCACCTGACAAGGGCAGTTACTTTAAGGTGGAGAGAGGATAATTGATGGATTGAATGGATTGACCTACATTTAATTCCAAGTTGTCCTACCCACACTGTACCATGTTATGCCAACCGATCAATCCAACACTGATTTCAATCCCGTGAATTTTTGCCTGTATGGCTTTCCTCTTTTGGTTCCCTATCTTTCTCCACCTCTGATTCTTCTAAGTGAACTAACTCATTCATAGGATCAGAGTCTTAGATTTTAGAGCTGGAAGGCACTTCAGAGGTGACCTTATCCAACACCCTCATTTTACAGATGAGAAGACTGAGGCCCATGGCAGCTAAGTATTTCCCTAAGCTCATGTAGTCAGTAAGGATCAGAGGATGAATCTGAATCCAGATTCTCTCACTCCAAAGTCAGAAGTGCTCTTTCCACTTTACTTTTATGCTTTCTTCCAAGTCCTGATGGGACGGAAGCATTTACAACCTACAGTGAAAGTGTATGAGAGTTGACCTGCTGAAAATAAGTAGAAATGAAGAAAAGAAGATGTAGCTCATTAGCACCTATTGGTAATAATATTGACTAGAATTCTGGAATAGAATTTAATTATCAGTCTCATGGAGAAAATAAAAATGTAGTAATTATCAAGTAGGAGATAATATTTTGCAATTGCTTCTCCAGTGGGGAGCAGCCATTCTTACATCAGTAGCTGTTACGCTAATTAAACAGATTGGGAGCAATTACGTTGCATTTGAATGATGCCAAAGCTATTACAGGGTCTTTGTGCTACTGACTAGCACCTTACAAGGTTCTTTCTTTCATAATCACAATAAAGACCTGCTTTTCATTGGAAAGGTTTATATTTTTCCAAAACATGATGCATGAGAACTCCATGACACTTTTGGCATACAGATGGAATTTCCCTAACTGTAAAGGGTTTTGCTCTCACTGATCATTGCAGTAGATTCCCGTACAGTTTTTTTCCCACTCCTGGGGTATCTCATCTCCCAACCATCCTTCACACAGCAGCCAGATTCATCTTCCTAATGCACCACTCTAATCATGTCACTCCCACTATTAACAACCCTTTTATGGTTCTCTCTTTCCTACCAAGTCTCCACATACAGCACTGCTGACCACTGTCTCCTCCTGGATACCCTCTACCCTCTCCTTTCTGGGTTTTCATGACACTATTCACTCCTGGTTTTCCTCCTACCAGTCTGATCACTTCTTCATTGGAAGGTTTGGGTATATCTCAAAATTCTGTCCTGTGTCCTCTTCTCTCCTCTCTCAGTGAACATAACAGCTCCTATGGGTTTAAATAGCATCTCTCTGCAGATGACTTTCCCACTTTATATCCAGCCCCAAACTCTGTCCTGATCTACAGTCACACATCCCTAACTGCCTATTAGTCATTTCAAACTGGATATCTCAGAAACATCTCAAACTGAATATCTCTAAGCTCTAAAGAGCCAGCTCAATAGCACAAGATGGCGTGTGTGGCCACTGCTTTACATCCTGATATTAGTGTAGCCTCTCCATCCATGATATACAAGTAATACAGATAGATGTGTTTCCACTCCATTTGTTCTCTCACTCCTTACCTGCTTCACCATCCTTACCAAGTAGGGAGATTTTCATTATCATTTAAAAACCTTTCCTTCGCAGCAGCTAGGTAGTACAATGTATAGAGCACTGGCCTTGAAGTCAGGAGGACCTGAGTTCAAATCCAACCTCATACCAAACACTTAACACTTACTAGCTGTGTGACCCTGGTCAAGTCACTTAACCCCAATTGCCTAACCAAAAAAATTAAAAAATAAAAACCTTTCCTTCCAATCTCTTTGTCATAAATAGGTGGACAAAATGGAGACACACCTGACCTTCCATCAGAAATGACTCCAGGATTTCCAAGAAATATAAGTGAGAATCTTTTGAATTTTTCTTACTAAGTCTAGCTGAGGATGGAGAAGGGGAGATTTTGACAGAAGGGGAAAAAAATGCATCTTCCTATGAGACAGATAAAGAAGTTTGTTTTCCCTGGTGGTAAAGGAGTTAATCTCTGTGTTTCTAAAATATTTAGAGGTTTTTCTTTCTCTTGCAAATCCTGCCTCTTGGTATGTAGTATGCCATGCTTTCCCTCCCCCACCATCTTCACCCCTCAGATTTGATGGGAATACCCTCCCAACTTCTTCTGCCAGTAGAACTTCTATAAAACTGCCCACAGCTGTGGTGTCACAGGATTCCACAGTCTGACTATCCCTGAATGTATGTGTTGGTGGGCTGGAGGTGTCTAATGACTTTTCTTTTTCCTTGTTTGAACAGGGAAGTAATTTTCACCATCCTGTCTGCTACACCAGTTATTATAAGAGGCTGAAGAAGCCATCCTAAGGGTTATAAATGACTGATTTGACACGGAGAGTAAAAAAGGTTTATCTAGCTTTTGGGGGGGTTTTTTGGCGAGGCAGTTGGGGTTAAGTGACTTGCCCAGGGTCACACAGCTAGTAAGTGTCAAGTGTCTGGTCTGAGGTGAGATTTGAACTCAGGTCCTACTGACTCCAGGGCCAGTGCTCTATCTGCTGCACCCCTTCACTGCCCCATTTACCTAGCTTTTCAGAATATATCTTACAGGGCAAGGATACATGATAGTCTCTGTGCTGGTTCCAGTTCTGGTGAGCATCTGACCTACTTTGTCTCCCTGCTTACCATGGAGATGATACCCATAATGGTAGTGGATTCAGCTTTCTCAAGAAAGAGGAAACTTCCTGAAATGTCTGAGAAGGCACAGAACTTTGGGGCTAGGTGTTTTTGTCACTGTGAAAATGCCAGGCACTATATAACCAGCACAAAGCCTTCAGCCTAGTGGTCAGCAACAATCCCTAGCTCCCATGTGCCTTGAAATTCTACCTGGTCCATATTCTAGAGACTTTCCCTTTGCAATTCTATCTGCTTTACAGAGTATGCTCCCTCCCTTGTCAAACATATAGGTTTAGCCATATGCATGTTTTTCTTTCTGCTTGTTGGCATTCCATGTTACCAAGAACGGTATAAGAACATACCTTCGATCAGCTGTCCACACTAGGGTTCAGCTGAGGGGGCTTAGCATCTCAAGTCATTCGTATCTACCACCCTCAATCTCTAACTTCCTTCTTGCCCTTTTCTTGAAGGGACTAGCCATTCCAGTTATTCCATCTTCCCTTTTTGTACTTTTAGGGTTATGTCAGAAGGAGTAGACAATGCTTGCACCTGACTATTTTCTCATGATGTCCCTGCCTGGAACAGAGACTTATATTTAAAACCTCTATCCACCCAAAATTTCCTTTCACCCTCATAAACAAGGAACCTTGGACAAGGCATTTATTGACCAAACCTTCTCTGCACATTAACTCGTCAAATGGCTCCATATGTTACTCTGGAGAGTCTGGAGTCTTGCCCCTTGAGCCATAATTAGGAAAGTTGTATTAACTTGAACTCCAATCAAAACAGCTATTACAGCCCAAGCAGTGCCCCTGTGGAGGTCATATTGACCTCTCTCAAAACTAGCTAGCCTCAGTGAACTTGCCATGTCAGTGGAAAAATTTCCTACCACACCAGTCTTCCTCCCAAATGTCTCCCTCAAGTTAAACTAGTCAATCTGGGACTACAGTCCTTCAAAGCAGCATTCCCTACTGTTCTACCAAATTGAGAAGGATCCCCAAACCATTAACACTGCCAGGCTTAAGGATCAGGGACATCGCATAGGAAACACAGGCTATGGCACACAGCAATGTCATTCCTTAGTGACAACAGTGTGTGACCGGGTGAGGGGACGTGTGAGGTATTCAGGAAGGACTAGCATCTCTTGTGTGAGGTCTTGCTGAGCCCTTTACAGGGCTGCTTATCCAACTTTGGTGTCCACCTGCCACCCAATGCTCACCTGTGGCTCCAAAAAGCTGCAGCATATGCAGCAACCACACCCTGGTAGGCTGTCTCCACAGACAGGCTACATCAGGTTGAGGGTGACTGACAGGCCTCAAACCCTTTGGTGAGTTAGGCAGATGTCTACGCCAAATATGTGAAGACTTCCCCCAGTGGAATGGGCAGATGAGAACAATTTGTTCCAATGGCCATGAAGGTGGCTGAAGCACGCTCTGTGCAGTGCTTAGAGCTTAGTCAGACATCAAAGATGCCAAGGTCATCCACTGCATCCCAAGCCCTAGCCACTTTTGTCTTTTGTCCTGCCACTGGACTTCAATGACTGTGGAAGAGAGAGGGAGGCTGATGACTTTGAGCAACTCTGCCACACTTAAATCCAATTCAAGCAAGAGTCATCGATCCTCTTCAAAAAAAAAAAAAAGGACAAACAACAATATCGTATGACTGGCCCCTTCAATGACTTGATACCATTTTTTTTCTGGCCCTAAGTCAACCTCCTTTTTCTATTTCCCAGGCAGTTATTTAGTGACATGGTTATTGATAACAGCTCCCCCTAAAACTCTCCCCCAGATCAATTATCTTACCTTCCTGAGAGTGGGAACAGAAGACAATTCTAATGCCCATCCTAAGCCTTCTCTAGGCTCCAGCAAAATGGTGTGTGACCATATCTTTATACAAACTTATTATCCCTTTCACAATAACACATTTTTTTTAACTTTACATCTTTCTTCTCTTTTTAGATAACATCACAGTCTTCAATGGGGCATTTAAAGATGTGGAAAGTGTAACATTATTTTTTGGTGAGTTGAATCCCTAGTTTGAAAGGATAATACTGAGGGAGATGTTATCACTGTTGGGGATGCTTGGAGTTCCTTTCATTCAAAAACCTCTTAGAAAGGATGGACTGTATAGATAGGATCATAGAATCACTGATTTAAGCTCGAATGGACCTTAGGATCATCAAATCCATTCCCCTGCAGGCACACACATTTTACAAATGAGGAAACTAAATCCTAGAGACGTTAAGTGATTCTATCTAGATACACAGGCTCAGTGCAATAGCTGGGAATACCCAAGTCCTCTGTGCCTCCAAATTCAACATCTTTTCCTCTGTATCACACTCTCTTAGCAGGTTATAAGTATCATACTAGATACTGGAGCAGCTATCAGGCAATCTGGACAAGTAGAATCACTGCTTTCAGGACTTAGAATCCAACAGAGGAGATAGGACACATATCTAAATATATGATGGCTATATTAGAATTATACAAGAACTGCCACTTCTAGGGGCCCTCTTACTGAAGGCTAGAGAGGAAAAATAATTTACCCAAGCATGCATATAGCTCCACAGCTCCAACTTCAGGGTCCCTACTTATAGTGCGCTTCTGTTGTCCCTCTGCAATAGTAATATTGTTGTTGTTCAGTCATGACCCCATTTTGGGTTTTCTTGACAAAGACACTGGAGTGCTTTGCCATTTCCTATTCCATCTCATTTTACAGATGAGGAAACTGAGGTAAACAGGGTTAAATAATTTACCCTGGGTTACACAGCTAGTAAGTGTCTGAGGCAAGATATGAACCCAGGAAGGCTTGGCGCTCTATCCACTGTGCCACCCAGCAGGAGTTAACATTTAAATAGCGCTTTACAGTTGTGGAGAATTTTACCTACATTCTCTCATATGGTCTCAACAATAAGCTTCTCAGACTGGTGATAGGCTACCCCCATTTTATAGATTATCTAATCACTAGTATTATATTCATTTTACAGATGAGAAAACTAAGGACTAGTAAGTAACCTTTCCTGAGGTAATAAAAGTACTAAATGGTAGAACTGAGACTACAACTCAGTCTTCTCATACCCACTCCAAGGCTCTTTGCCCTATACCATACAAAACTCTTCTATATCTCTCACTGTGTTTACCACAGTGCCGGGCACATAACAAGTAATCTATAAATACTTGATGATCAAGAATACCATGACAATGGCAAGGTAGTGAATGGCCTAGACAAGAACTGCTTGTAGCATTTAGATGAAGGCTTCAGTTTCCATGTCCTTACTCCCAAAGAACTTCTTTATTTTTCCCTCACCTCTCTGCAGACTGCTTGGGCTCCCACTTTACCTGGCTGCAGGCCATCTTCACCAACTTCCCAGACTTGCTCCAATTTGTGAGCAAGTTGAAGTGTGTGGCTGGCCTCTGCCCCAAGGACTTTGAAGACTATGGCTGTTCCTGTCGCTTTGAGATGGAGGGGGAACCCATTGATGAGACTGACAGGTGAGTTCCTAGAATCGAAGACTTGGGGAAGAAGCCATGTTATTGGCTTCCAGAAGTAACAGGAATTATGAATAGCAACATCAGCTAGACAGGGTTGGAGCAACTCAGGTCCATTGGCTTCTTGAGACATACTATTCCATTCCAAGAAAGTTCAAACTATTAAGTTCTTTGAGGATGTGTGAGAAAATTAATACATGAAATACAAGGGGGGGGGGGAGAAAGAGAGAAACAAATATGCATGCACACGTATATATCAATAAATAGATGATGTCAGCTAGAGGGCACAGTGGATAGAGCTCTGGGCCTACAGTCAGGAAGACTCATCTCCCTGAGTTCAAATCTGGCTTCAGACTCATACTAGTTGTGTGACCCTGGACAAGTCACTTAACCCTGCTTGCCTCAGTTTCCTCATCTGTAAAGTGAGCTGGAGAGGGAAATGGCAAACCACTCCAGTATCTTTGCAAGAATACCCCAAATGGTGTCACAAAGAGTTGGGTGTGACTGAAATGACTAAACAAAAAATGGATGTGTGTCTATATATATATACAAATATACACACATGTGTAATATAATGAGATATGTATATACCTATCTTGTTATATTGATTCATTCACGTATGTATGTATGTATGTATGTATGTATGTATGTATGTATAGAATGAGCTAGAGCTAGAGTTAGAGAGCTATATAGTATCTCAAAAGTCTTGGTGCAATTTTAAATTTAAATAGCTTAAAACTGCACCAAGACATTTTGGAAACCCCATATATATTCTATTTTTAGACAAGTCTAATTAAGTTTATATTTATGTGAATGACAAGGGATATAAGAATACATACATACATGTATATATATATATATATGTGTGTGTGTGTGTGTTCTCATATTTCCTGTAAATGTCCTGCATATGCATGTGTCTTTATATTCCGTGTGTGTGTGTGTGTGTGTGTGTGTGTACATATGCATGTGGATATTATATAAGTATATAGGAACACACACAAGGTATATAAGATACACACCTATATAAACACATAATACACATACATATATATGGAATGTATGGAAATATACAAAAACAAGTATATATATATATATATATATAAGAGTATATATGTATACACACATATTTATAGAGAGAATATAAGGACATACACATATGTATGTACATGTGTATGCTCACATACACAAGAACAATATTGTAATATTAGGACACATATGTATATATGTATTTGTGCGTACACACAGATACAAGAAATTTAAAGACATAGCAATATAAGGACACATAAGGGATATGAAATACACACATGTATATACATATTCCACATTTGTGTTATACACGCATATGTATATAGGTGTATGTGTCATATTCCTTGTGTGTGTTCTTATAGTACTATATTGTCCTTGTATTTGTGTGTCCTAATATTCCAAGTACATATGTATGTGTGTGTGTGTGTGTGTGTGTATATATATCCTTATATTCCTACATATGTCCTTGTGTGTTGTTATATTACATACATATATGTGTGTATTATGCATAAGGATATATGTGTGCATGTGTGTGTGTGGATATATATATGGAATATAACAGTACACACATTGTGGTGTGAAGATGTCCCTGGATTCTCAAAGGTGATATTTAGGCAGGCTCTACCAAGCTGGAAAAGCTTCAAGTAGCAATCCAGTGAGGGACTGCGTGTTTGTTGTCCAAGGCTTCAGTTAGCCAAGCTTAGAGATATTCATCACCAAATCGGCTACAGTGATGACTTTTTTTGGCAACAACAACTAGGAAGACTTCAGTTCAGATCCAGCCACGGACATTCAACTGACTGTATGACCCTGAGCAAGTCACCTAATCTTTGTTTGCCTCAACTTCTTCTTCTGGGAAACAGGGATAATAATAGCTCCTACCTCCCAGGGTTGTTGTAAGAATTCAAAGAGATAATGTGTACCTTAAAGCAGTATAAAAATGCTAGTTATTATAATTCTATTAAGTCCTAGAAGGGTTGCAATCCGTCAGTGGAAGGAGTACCCATACTGTAGAAACCATACATTATTGAAGTATTGAAGCAGCAAACATTTACTTAATCAAGATCTCTTTCTACTTTACTCACTGTAAACTATATGGGAGGCATGGAATGAGCACTGTATTTGGAGGTAGAAGACCCGAGTTCAAATCCTGACCCTACCATTTATCTACAGTGTAGCCTTAGGAAAGTTACTTAATATCTCTGAGCCTCAGTTTCCTCATCTGTAAAATGAAGATGATAATTTTTGCACTCTTCACCTTACAGGATTTTGAGGATCCAATGAAATGTTTGCAAGAAGGCTTTAGAGAGAGCTAAGTAAATTTGGGCTATTGTTGAGCTTCTTGAGTTCTGTGGGGTCCACAATTGTCCAATCTCCAATAAAAGACACTGAGGCAGAGCTCCAAGTAAATAACCATTTATTAAAGGGATCTGGCCCTCTTTAATGAGTAGAAGCTTGGAGCTTCCTTGCTATATGAGATGCCCCCTGCCCCCAAGGGCTTATTTTTATAATTCTTGATACCCAGATGCAGAGAAGAAGCAAAGTAAAATATAGAGTCTCATTAGTTGATAGACCTTGCTTTTGACCCTGCATCACCATAGGTGATTGCAGGATAGACAAGGCTCAAGAGTCATCTCCTCTAACTGTTCATAAGATGGATACATCCTAATGCTGGGCGAGAGAAGATGGTCCTACAAAAATAATTTGGGGAACTTTCCTTATCCCCCACCCACACTGGGCTTAGTCACAGTGATTAAACAAAAGAGGGCAGAGGTCTGGAGTCCTTTCGCCCACATTGGCCTTGGTCATGCACTCATCAGGCCAAAAGGGCCTACTTTCTTGAAGTTAGCCAAGTGGACTTTATAACAAACTAGCGAACTTATAGCTTAGAGTTTGGAACCTATTATAAGAAAGAATCTATCTTATCTAACTATCCCTAAACATGATATATATAAAATGTGTATTAATATATGTAATTTCTGTATTATATTAGTTGGCTAGGCTGACTAAGTGTGTATTAGTAGATAAATATGACACTAATAATTGCTATCTCTATGGAATCACATTAAACTGGATAATACTGATTGGACTAAAGTAGGGATCTAAATATCTATCACAGGACAAACTGTCTCATTCATCTTAATATTCCTCAAAACCTAACAGAGGCCCATGAATGGAGTAACTCTCATACAAGCTTGATATAATCAAAGTAAGCCCTTGACATGGGTCATTAGAGGGACCTGGGCCTCTCCGTTCACTTTAGTGTGTCAAGTTATTAAAAGTGAAGCCTCTGTGTTTTAGGAGGGATTAGTGACTTTTGTATTATTAAAAAACAAATAAACCAAAAAACAAACTTTTGAACCTCCCAATGGCCTCTGCATGTTTTTAAAGACCTCCAAGCAAAAGTTTGTCTCTGTCTCACAAACTCTCAGCAAGAAAGAGTCCTTGAATATACATATTTACATTTGGAAATGAGAGAGAGATTCAGCTCAATGAGTTGGTAGGAGGAGGAAATCCTTCCCCTGTTGCCCACTACCTTGTTCTACTGCAGGGATTGGAGTGGGAGGCTCACAATTGTGTAGGCACTGGAGACTGAGAAGCAAAGCAGCAATCCATCAAAGTCATGGCCAGATCAGAATTACTAAATCATTCATGTTGAAAACTGATGGATGGGTGAACATCCAATTTCATTTTTTTCACACCGTCTGAGAGGGTACCAGAGGCCCAGAGGGAGCACTGGAGGAGAGGTAGTTTCCTTGGAGATTTGCATACCAAATCCAAATAAATCTTAGCAGATTTATTCAGAGACCCATTATTTTTCTATCTCAAATGTCACAAGTTGCCTGATGGAAGGCAGCTTTTGCCCTAGGTGGATATGAAGTTTTGATTGCCCAGTCCATCAATCAACAAACATATATTGAGCTCGTAGTAGCATGGTACCACTGTGCTGATGGATATCCTTTTTTGAACAGTTCCTAGATTAGAAGGATGCCATATATGTAGTGCACCTGATTTCAGCAAGGCATTTGGCAGAGCCAACACTGTGTCATCATAAAGATGATGGACTTGAAGTTGCAATGATAGCTCCACCACTGTGACCTCAGGCAGTTTCCTTATGGACCTCAGTTTCCTTTTCTGTTAAATTAAGTGTTTGGATTAGATGGAAAGACTTCTGAGTCCCTTTCCACCTCTGTATCTATGAGCTGATTATCCTAAATCACTCTCTGGACCTGTAAAGTAGGAATGAAATACATATGGGGCCTAGTTCACAGGACTTTGATGAGGATCAAATACGATCCAGTATGGAAAGCACTTTGTCAGCCTCAAAATGCTGTGTGAATATCAGTTATTATGAAATCCTTGTGGTTAAGATGAAGAGATGGAAATTAGATAACCTACAAAGGACTATAAGAGACATGAGAAATATAATGCACGTATATACGTATATAATATATATGGAATATAAGGACACACAAAAACATATATACATATTTGTACTTGGTTAAGTAACTGGACCCAAAAAGTTTTGATTATTGGATTGATATCAACTTAAGCAAAAGTTCCTAGTGGAGCGTTCTAGGAATATGTCAAGAAATGATCTGTAGCCACGAAGTATTTAGACTCTGGCTAGGATGATAAGATATAGACACTTGAAAGATGGAGCTCATCCAAAGGAATGCAACCAGGATGGTGAAGAGTCACAAGATCAAGCTGTATAAAAATTAATTGAAATAACTGGGAATGTTAAGCCTGGAGAAGCAAAGGCTTAGGTAGAACATGATAGTCACCTTTGAATGTTTTAAAACTTATCTTATGCAAGAGATATTAGATTTGACCTGCTAAGGCAAAACTAAGGGGACAAGAGTGTAATTGAGGATCAATGTAAGGACAAATATTCTAATAATTAGAGCTAGCCAAAGGTGAAATGTGCTGTCCCTGGAGAGAATGGGTTCTGTCTCTAGGGGCCATCCAGCTTTTGCTTACTTCAGTAAGTTCTCAGTTTCTTCACCTGTTAAACAAAGGGATTGGCCTCAATGATCTCTAAGATTCCTTCCAGTTATAACATTCTATATTCTAATGTTCTGCACTCCAAGTTCCCTTCTATATTCTAACTATAACATTATATTCTGACATTCTATGTTCTTCTTTCAAACTCTGATTTTAAATATAATTTGTCTAGAGGGAGGTAGCTGTATGTGATTCTTCTACTGGGGAAAAATTGTACTATTATTGATCTAGAACTAGAAGTTCCCTTAGATGTAATATAGTCCAACCCCCTTATTTGCAGAGGAGGAAGCAGGTCCATAAGGTTAAGCAGGTCATACAGGCAGTAAGTGCCAGAAGTGGGATTTGAATTCAGGTGTCCTTTGAGTCTGAATCCAGGTTTCTTTCCACTCTAGCAAGCTGCTTCTTTATTCTAGTGACAATTAAATAAACAAGGAGTTCTTTCCTTTAACTCCCCAAGTTTTAATTTTCTCCCCAACCATGTGTCCAGTTGTTGTTTCCAGCACCGAAAATGTTATGAAGATGCTGCTGAATTGGAGTGTGCCCAAGACCTAACCAAACTTTCCACCGATGTCACTTGTGACAATCAAAACATTACTTGTGGTAAGTGTAATTCATTTCACTAAGTCTGAGGTCCTGGATAGGTACATGGTGATTGTAGTGTAAGTGGTGTGTTTGGTGACGCAAAGAACTTCCCTCCCTTCCCAGGACACCCACTGTCTAGGGGGCCACAGAAGTTGGATTTCCAGAGGATTTCTGCTCCTTTTCTATAACCCTTTCTGGGACTAGAACCAGCTGAAAACACAACTGTGATCAATGTGATGGGGACTCTCTGGCATCCTGCTTATAGCACCCACTCAAAGCCTATAGAGTTGGGAGGGGTCATAGAGGTCATCTAAAGGGAAGGGGAAGAGAGTTGGGGAGTTTTCTCAATCCTCTCCATTTCTTGGTCCATCTCTCCAGATTCCAAGGATCCTTGTGAGCATCTTCTATGTAATTGTGATAAAACTGCCATTGAGTGTTTTCTTCATTCACACATCAACTCTTCCCTCAATGGCCTTGATGTTGCCTTCTGCATGCCCACAGTCACAGGTAAGAAAAACCAGAATGGGTTTCTCAGTTTTCTCAATGACTTTTGTTGTCAATCACTGGCTTTACCTTCTGTTCCTTATGAGTTATCCTTTGTCCAGTACAATTCAATGACTTGCTACTTTGCAAGCCCTGAGCTCAGTCCTAGGGAGACCTTAGTTCTCACCTCCAAGAAGGTTAAACTCTAAGGGGGACAGAACCACAAATAACTGTGATAGAAGATAAGGTGAGATAAGTGGAGAAGAGATAGATCTAGGCAAAGTGGGGTGGGAAATAGGAGGGAAAGATCATTGTCTTTTAGATAGATAGATAGGTAGATAAAGCAATCGAGCTTTTATTAAGCATTCACCATATGCCATGCACTATCTTAAGTTTTGGGAAGACAAATAAAAGAAAAAAAGACTGTCCTTACCTTCAGGGAGCTTACATTCTAATAGAGGGAACTGAAAGGGGGGGAAAAGTGGGGAAAGTGAAGTTGGAAAGATGGGGATATAAAAGGAAAAGTCAAGAGCCGAGCCAAAATAGAAGAGAGCATGAATGGCCTGGGTATCTATTGAGAACACTAGTCAGGCCAACAATCAAGAATTTTATGTTTTTATTTGTTTGTTTGTTTGTTTTTACTTGTATTTTTATGTTGTATTTTATTAATTTTTTTTAAGAATCTTGCCCAGGCTTAGCAGCAGCCACTCAATGGCCTAACAATTCAGCTGATAGGCCTGGAAATTTTGATTTGCTCTGTTTCCAACCTGAACTAGTTCATCTTCCTTAGGTGGCCCATCTGTCATCCTCCCCCTCCAGGGCCTTAGTGCATTGGTGGGGACTTGGTGTATACCCCTAATCAGCATTAGCCCTAAGAAAACTTAGAGCTCCTAAGGCTCAACTTCCCAAATGTCAAGGACTATAGGTGTGAGCCACCAAGTCAAGCTCAGGAAGCTCACTAGGTGTCAGTCATTGTAGTAAACACCACCGCTACAAAGAAAGGCAGGAACATCATCCTGCCTGCAAGGAGCTCACAATCTAATGGAGAAAACAACACGCAAACTATGTACAAACACCTATAGGCAGGACAGACTGGAGGCAATGCCAGAGGGCACTAACATCGAGGGGAACAGGGAAAGGCCTCTCACAGAAGGTGGGATTTCAGCTGACTTTTAAAGAAAGTTGGGAGGAAGAAACAAGGAGAGACAACATTCCGGGAAGGCAGAACAGCCAGCGAAAATACACGAAGTTCAAAGGTGTCTTATATGAGAAGTATGTGATTACGAGCTGCTTCTGCTAGCAGCTAGTGACTAATATGCAAAAGAATACTGGAATAAGAGTTGAGACCTGGGCTCCAGTTCTGTCTCCTCTACAAAGTTGCTGAGTGACTTTTAACTTCTCCAAACCTCAGTTTACTTATCTGCAAAACAGTGATAGTTTTAACTGTCCTATCTACCTCCATGAGGGCTATGAGAATGAAAGAAGAAAATGTGTCATTGTGGGAAATCAGAAAACGCCATTTAAATATAAACCATATTATCATGACATGTCTTGCCAATAGCCCCTTATCTACTAGCCCGGGATGAGTAGCCATTTGTGGCCAACGAATATGAAATAAGAACATTCAGGGGCAGCTAGGTGGTGCAGTGGATAGAACGCTGGCCCTAGAGGAAGGAAGACCTGAGTTCAAATCTGGCCTCAGACACTTGATACTTATTAGCTGTGTGACCCTGGGCAAGTCACATCCCCATTGCCTAGCCAAAAAAGAAATAAGAACATCCATTTCATTTATTTTACTCCCAGAAGGGACTGTGGGCACACAAAGGTTTTTTGGTTTTGTTTTTTTAATTAAAGCTATAGTCTCGGTAATTCTTTTAATAAGTGGGTTACTTTAAATCATTTTGTCCAAATACTATACTCAGGTCTCAAAGGGTAATTTCTTGCTCTGCAGCTAGGCTGCTGCATTCAAGTGACTTCCAGAAAGTTCAGACTAGGCAGCACTAGTATAGCAGGAGGAGGAGGACGAGGACTGAACCTGGTGTCAGAAGGACCTGGCTCTGAATCCCAGCTCTACTTAGTGGTTCTATGACCAGGAGCAAATCACCCCTGTGTTGTGGTTGTTGTATTGTTGTCCAGTTGTTCAGTCCTGTCCCATTCTTCATGGCCCCATTTGGGGCGCTGGCATGGTTTGCCAGCTCATTTTACAGATGAGGAGACTGAGGCAAACAGGGTTAAGTGACTTGCCCAGGGTCACACAGCTAGTCAGTGTCTGAGGATGGATTTGAACACAGGTCTTCCTGACTTCAGGCCCTGACTCACTGCTATGAGTCTCCTTTTTAACATGGGGATACTGATTCTCACACTTTATTCTTCAGGACTATTGTCAGGAGAGAGCTTAATGAACTCTCAAGTACTCTAGCAATGTGAGCTATTCCCACCCAGCTCCTGTTACCACCCCCCCATGTCCCCCTGCCAGGAGTCACATCTTTCCCTTTTGATAGCATTCTTCTGGAGATATGACTACCGTAGCCCAAAGATGTTTCAATATGAACTGAACCAAATTCTTAAGGCCTTTTCATTTTCTTTCTCTCAAATCTTGCCCTGTCTCCCAGTTCTATAGTTCTATGATTTGTCCCTGGAGGGACTTCATACCTCGGTTCTGAATCTGAGCTGGAGAGGTTGGAAGCTCATCCCTCTAATGTTCTCTCCCAACATGTTAACTTTTCAGATACGAACAGCAAGGAAGAGATCACGGGCCGTAAGTCTTTCCCATTATACCATGTCTCATTCATATACTAAGGCATTAAAATGGGGAGGTGTAGATGGGTGGGTACAGATAATACTTTCTTAAGCTGTAAGGGTTTACAGAGTACTTTCTTGACAGCTGTCCCATGAGTTATTTGTTCATTGTGAGACTTTGAATGAGTCTCTGAACCTCAGTTTAGTTATCTGAAAAATGGGGGATGGTTATACCTGCCTTATCTGGTCAAGTCAACAAACATTTATTAAGAGCTAACTATGTGCCTGTACTATGCTAAGCATTAGGGATACAAAGAAATGTAAAAACAATCCGTGCATTCAAGAAACAAACAATTAAACGAGAGAGGTGACATACAAACAATTATGCAAAAACAAGATATTAACAAGATTAATTGGAGGTAGCCTATGAGGGAAGGCACTAGCACTCAGGGGGACCAGGAGAGGCTTTTTGAAGAAGGTAGGATTTAGCTGGGAATTGAAGGAAGCCAAGAGGCTTCCAACCACAACTTACTTCCATGTCTGTTTCATCAGAAAATGTCATCTAAATAGAATCCATTTTTATCATGAGGCTTGCAAATAGCCCCTCGCCTACTGGCCTAGGATGAGGAGCCATTTGTGGCCAATGAACAAGAAATAAAAATGCTCATTTCATTTACATTACTCCCAGTAGGGACTGTGGATGAAATAAGAAAATGTGGAATACAGGAAATCATAAAATTCCATTCAAATATAAACCATGATTATCAAGTGGCTTGCAAATTGCTCCTCACCTACTGGCTCAGTCTGAGAAACCATTTTGAGCCAAGTGAATAGGAAAAAAATGTTCACTTCATTTATTTTGTCGTGTTGTTGTTATTGTTCAGTCGTTTCAGTTATGTCCGACTCTTCATGACCACATTTGGGGTTTTCTTGGCAGAAGTACTGGAGTGGTTTGCCATTTCCTTCTCTGGCTCATTTTATAGATGAGGAAACTGAGGCAAAAAAGGGTTAAGTGACTTGCTTAGAGTCAAACAGCCAGTAAGTGTCTGAGGCTGGATTTGAACTCAGGTCTTCCTAACTCCAGGCCTAGGGTTCTATTCACTGTACCATCCAGCTGTCTGATTCATTTCATAATATTCAGGTATTATTAAGCCTACTTTATAGATAGGGAAACAAGTTCAGAGCATTTAAGTGACTTCCCTATTACTCTACAGCTTAGATAAGAGCCAGGATTCATAGACCATAGATTAAGAGCTAGAAAAGATCTTTAAGACCACCCAGTGCAGTCCCTTCATTTTTCAGATGAGATCCAGAACAGTTAAATGACTTACCCACATCCACCTAGGTTATAAATAGCAGAGCCAAGATTTGAACCCAGGTCCTCATGATTCCAGGGCTGGCGCTCTATCCACTGCACCACCTAGTTTCCCAACCATTCTACAGACGAGGCCCGGAAAACTTAAATGACTTTCCCAAATCCACATAGGTTACAAATGGTAGAGATAAGATTTGAACTCAGCTTTTCTGTCTTCAAGTCCAGCACTCCATATACTATAAGAGGCTTCGTCCCAGATAAAAGCTTCTTCCAATGGGCATTGTTGGGTTAAGCTGGAAGTATCTATGACAGCAGATGTGCTAAAATTCCCAAACTCAGCTATTCCTCTGCTCCCAACAACAGGAAACATTAATTACCTTCCATAATGAGACTAATTCAAACATCCAAGTGCAAAACAGGTCCCCATGCTGTACTTCACAGATGTGAATTTGCATTTGTTAGGATGTAGACCATTAAGTACCCTTCTTCTCCTGCCCTCACTGTTGCCTCCCTTGGATAATTAAGCTGGTCTGTGGGCTGCCTCATAATGTTATTGAGTAGAGGGCTCAGCAGTGCTCAGAGAATGCACACAGACCAGGCAGAAGACTGTGAAAAACATCTGTTCCCAATCACTCTTCACCAAGGTAATGCTGGGCTCATCTCCCCACGACTGAGTGAGGAAGTTCACCGCTAGCTAGGGCCTCAAAGGGATTCCACCCCCTTCCTCCTCCCTGGCTCAGGGGCACAGGGCTACACTTAGCCCCCTTCCTCTCCGGAAGTTGCCTCACAGCTTCAGGGCAAGTTGGATGGTGAGTTCCCCGCTACTTCAAAGAGAAGTTGTAGAGGGGACTGTTGGTCTGGTAGGAATTGAGGTCCCTTCTAACTCAAATATTCAGTGATTGAAAGAGACCAGATAATGAGCTCTGGGTTCCATTATCTGCTCCTTGCTGGGTAGCTTCCCAAAAGTATCATGACCTCTCTGGTCCTGGCTATTACAGACTTGTCCAAAGGATGATCAGCGTGGCAAAGAGTGGAAAGAGCACTGACCTGGTGGTTAGGAGGTCCCAACTCTGCTAATTGCTAGCAGTGTGACCTTGGGCAAATTGCTTAAAACCTCGAAGAGCATTAGGGTCCTTAGATTATAAATTCCTTGAAGGCAGGGACTGTCTTTTGCTTCTTTCTATCCCCAGTGCTTGCACAGTGCCTGGTACATAGTAGGTGCTTAATAAATGTTCACTGATTGATCGACTATATGTAGAATAAGAGGGTCATAGGATCACAGGTTGGATTGGGTGATCCCTAAATTGTCTTCCAATGCTAAATACTATCATTTCTATGACCTGAGAATGATGGGAAAGCGCTGTGACTGATATGAGAGACCTTTGGGTACCACTGTGTATCAGAAGTTGGTATCAGACCTCGGCTTGAGTTCCAGGTTTGTGAATGATTGGTTATGTGATTCTGAGCAAGCCAGTCTACTTCAAATGAGATAATTAATGTAAAGCCCTGTGTCAACAATGGGATCTGGATCATTTTAGATGCTGGCCAGCATTCCTTGCACATCTTTCTTCCTTCAATTGGAATGTAGTTTTATGGAGGGCAAAGACTCTATAACTTTTGTATTCTTTAATCACCAATATACTTAGCTCATATTAAGCACTTAATAAGATGGTAATGAAGATAAGGATGATTATTGTGGGGAGTGGGGAGCTCAACAAAGATACTTGGGTTTATCCTTGATTGTCCAAGATTTTTGCTATGAGCAGGAAGGAAAATGATATGTGGGGTTCTCTGGGAGACATAGGGTGTAGGGCAAAGCAACATGTAAACCATACGAATGGTGTGGTGTGGAAATTCTAATCAGAGCCCTTTTTGACAGTCTTTCCTCCTTTATATAGGGAATTGATTGTGCTGCTACTAAAGCCAAGGTCAAGGGCATCACCAGGGGCCCAGGGGAGTTGAGGAGGAAGGTGGATCCATTTCACATCATATTCCAACCTCATAAGATTAAGTGCTTTGAGACTTGAAAGAGACTGGGACCTTGGAGATCATCTAGGTCAACTTTCTCTTGGAAAGATGAGGAAATTAAGACCCAGAGAAGTCAAAGGATTGCTCAAAAGCCTTTGCGGAATCACCAGTAGTACCAGAATTCAAAGCCAATTCCTTTTAGCCTACTATAACTTTCAAAAAGCTCTTGAAATTATACCGGCATCACCATGGGGGGTATAAGCGGGGCATGGCAGGAAAGAAACACATAGCCTACCACGAAAGTTCATTTTATTTCTGAATAGCTCAAGTTAATGTTATTCTAAATCTATCTCTGCCCCTAGTTCTTCCTTTTAGAGTTCTGCCTTCTATAGGACAAGTTTAATCCCTTTTTTGGGGTAGCTAAAGGGTACAGTGGAAAGAGTGCTGGCCCCAGAGTCAGGAAAACTCATCTTTCTGAGTTCTAATCTGGCCATGTACTAGTTGTGTGACACTGGCCAAGTCACTTCACCCTGTTTGCCTCAGTTTCCTCATCTGTAAAATGAGAAGGAAATGACAAAACATTCCAGTTTCTTTGCCATATTATGCATAGCACAAACTCTGGGGCAGGACTAAGCCAATCATGGTTCACAGAAGCACAAACCTGTATCATGCGCCTTTTCCCATCATCTTGGCAAGGCCCTTCTCTCGGGATCTCAGTTGTCTTATCTCTATCATCTTATTTTAGAAACACAGACCTTAGCTGTGAAAATCCCCAAAAGACCAGGAGAACCGGTAATATAGAATGACAGTCCTTTCTTGATAACTGCTATTATGATATTTATTGCTATTGCAAAACTGCTATGGTATATGCTATATTTGTACTTAAATAAGCTTTGATAATGAGTGGTTGTTTGTTTGTTTTTTAAGTATTCTCTTTCCTTCCACAGAGCTTCCTGCACACAAGAGCTCTCTGGCACCGTGGACATCTACTGCACTAACAGAAGGTATTGTATGAGGAAAATGTTAAAGAAACACCACAGAAGATGACACATTGCTGCTCATTCACTCACTGTGACTCATGGCATCCCAGAATTATAGAAGCTCTGAGGTGCAAGGGACCTCAGAGACCACCCAGTCCAATCTCCCTGTCTTACAGACGAAGCTCCAGGAGTAGTCTGACTTGCCCAGGGTCACACAGAGTAACTGGCAGAGCTGGTATTTGAGCCGATCTCTTTGGATTCCAAGTCTAGTCTTCTCTCTGCTATAACACCTTTTTTGAGCCTTAGTTTTATCATCTGTAAAATGGAAGTAATAATTTCTGCTTTACATGCTTTACAGAGTAGTTATGAATAAATCACTTTTATAAACTGTAGAGAAATATATACTATGTGAACTTTGCTTTTGTAGCTTTTACTATTCCTACCCTGGTAGCAATCCAATCCCTCTCTATTGTTTCCCTTTTCCTAATGCTCATCTATATGCTCCTGCCCCCCATATCGCTGGCCAAGGACTCATTTGAGTTTTCTGTTTGGAGTAACTGGTACACAGATAGGTTTAATAATAGCCATGAAGATGGCTCAAGTGGGAATTGCTAGCAGAAGGCTTTGGTGATGTCAAACTGAGACTTTGGGAAGGTAAACATTTCCTTCCAAGTGTCGAAAGAAAAGCAATCCCACCTTCTACAGGAAGCTTTCCTCAATACCCATCCCCTCTTAATTCTACTGTCTTCCTTCTGTGAATTATCAGTAAAATGTTGAATATAGTTCTCCTGCCTCTGCAGCCTTTGCACTGCGCCATATGGCTTCTCTACTTTTAAGTTCAAATTTTGCCTTTTGTTGGGCCTGCTGCCCCTCCTAAGGAAACCTAGTATAGTTCAAGACTGGCCATGTGGTAACCATCCTTACCTGGCCCTTAAGAAGCATGGCTGCTTCTATGTTTTCTTGGACACTTTAACCCTGTGAGGGAAACAGAGAATCTCAAAGCTGGAAGAGTTCTTAGAGATCAGCCATCCAAACCATACATAGCTAACTTAGAATCTCCTTTATACTAGCCTCAACAAACTGTCGTTAAATCTTTGATTAAATATTCCCAGTGAGGGGAAACCCTCAGCCTACCATGAAAGTTCATTTTATTTCTGAATAGCTCAAATTAATGTTATTCTAAATCTATCTCCACTCCTAGTTCTTCCTTTTAGAGTTCTGCCTTCTATAGGACAAGTTTAATACCTTTTCTGCGGTGGCTAGAGGGTACAGTAGATAGAGTGCCGGCCCTGAAGTAAGGAAAACTCATCTTCCTGAGTTCTAATCTGGCCATGTACTAGTTGTGTGACCCTGGCCAAGTCACTTCATCCTGTTTGCCTCAGTTTCCTCATCTGTAAAATGAGAAGGAAATGACAAAACATTCCAGTATCTTTGCCAAGAAAACCCCAAATGAAGTTATGAAGAGTTGGGCACAGTAAAAACAACAAAACCCTTTTCTGTACGACAGTCGTTCAACTGTATGGAGTCAGATAGGATGCCCCTGCCTAAGTCATCTTCAGTCTAAACATCCCTAGTTCCTTTCATCAATCTTCATTTAGCATGATCTTGAAGCCTTTCATCATTCTCATTGCCCTCCTCTGGATACATTCATCCAATGCATGTAGGAGGGGTGGAGAAGAAAAGGGAAGAGTGGCAGTGGGTGGGGGCGAGGGTGAGGGTGTGGTAGTAATAGTTACCATTTATTTACACTTTAAGGTTTCCAAAGCAATTCACATATGTTATCTTATTAGATACTCCTAACACCTCTGTAAGTAGGTGTTATCATTATCACCATTTTGGGGATGGAAGAAATTGAATCTAAGAGAGGTTGTGACTTTCCCAAGGTCTCATAGCTAATAAGTTTCTGAGATAGGATTCAAACTCAGGTTTTCCTGATTCCAAACATAGCCCTCTATGCACTTCACCAGACATTATACTAGCTGCTGGTGATACAAAGGCAAGACTTAAACAGTCCTCACCTCCAAGGGCTTACTTTCTATTGGGGGAGGGAGGGAGGGAGGAAAACCCAACATGAAGACAGATAAGTGCATACAACAGACATAAAAAGTCAATACAAAGTAATTTCCTGTAGTGGGGAAGGGTACTGAAAGGCCTGATGTAATATGTGAAACTTTAGCTGAGCCTTGAAGGAAATTAGGGGTTCTGTGAGGCAGAGGTGAGGAGGGAAAACATTTCAAGCATCAGGGAGATCCTAGGCAAAAGTATGGAATGTTCTGTCCTGGGAAAAGCAAGGAAGCCTCTTTGTTTAGAATTAGAATGTGTCAAAGAGAGTAAGAGAACAGAACCAGATTATAGCAGATTATAGCAGACTTTTAAAACCAACCAGAGTTCATTAAAACACTTCTGTCCTGGGTATGTTGCATGCCCTCGAGGATTCTGCTCTCTTCTCTGCCAGTCTGATAAACTCCTCTGTGCAAGATTAATGAGTGTTAAGGTGGTATTATAACCCAGGAAATAGATTTTCATTTTCATAGGAACCATTCCTACATGTCAGAAGGACCACCAGACTAGTCAGGAGCCCTGTGTTATTTCCCTGGTTCCACAACTAACAAGGATCTTAGAAAAGTCATTTCACTTCTCTTGGCTAGTTTCTTCACCCATAGAATTTGAGGATTGGACTATAACAGGAGGCCTTAACATTTTGTGAGTGTGTATGTATGTCCCTTTGGACATTCATGGTTCTCTCAGGGAATATGGTGAACACTAGGGACCATTTTTAAAATAATGTTTTGAAATGAAATAAAGTACATATGATTAAAAAGGAAATTTGATCACATTGACATAGTTATCAAAATACATTTTTAAAAAATAAAATGTGTCAAAATATATATCAATATGGGGAAGCTAGGTGGCACAGCAGATAAAGTGCCAAGTCTGGAGTCAGGAAGACTCATCTTCCAGAGTTCAAATCTGGCCTCGCACTAGCTGTGTGACCCTGGGCCAGTCATTTAACCCTGTTTGTCTCAGTTTCCTCATCTATAAAATTAGGTGGAGAAGGAAATGGTAAACAATTCCATATCTTTGCCAAGAAAACCCCAAGTGGGGTCATGAAGAGTTGGACACAACTGAAACAATTGAATGGCAACAAACATATCAATATAGCAAATATATGTCAATATATCAAAAATACATTTAAAAAAGGTTCACTGACCCCAGGTTAAGAATCCCTGGACTAGAGCTATTTCTGAAGGTCTTGTCCAGTTCTAACGTTCAGTAGTCTATCTTGGGATTTACACCAAGATTGGATTATTGATTCAAGTTGTGGCATCTATTTTCACAGTCATTCCTGAAGTGCCCACAGACAGCGTCTTAAAGGATTCCTCTGTGGAAGGTATGTGGAAGGGATTTTCCTCAGCATCATTTATCAAGTCCAGTAGGGAGATATCTCCTTTAAAATTCTCCTCTCCTGCCTAATGAGAGGGAGGCCCTTCTCAAAGAAGGTGGAAGTGGATTGTGAACTGCCAAGCAGATCCTACAAAGCTAAAAAGGTTTCAGTATAGCCCAGTGTCATTCTTCCCAGCACCTGAATAAGATCTGAAGGTCTTAGTGGACTGGCAAGCTCAGGATGAATCATGAATGTGATAACTGACATAATCTAAGTCTTCAAGGAAATTACAATTGAAGCAGGAGGCCCAGCCACACTTGGAACAGGCAGCCCCACTGCCGGAGCCCTGGCGGCACAGGATATGGTCACAGCCCTGGGGGTTGCTGCACCAGGTCATGTTGGAACAGCTTTCCACACACCCCCGCAGGCTGGCCTTCTCATACTTGGCAATGATTTAAAAGAGGCATAGAGTGTGTAGATAGGAAGACAGCTGCCATTTCTGGGTGTAATATTCTAGGAAAGCCATTGATAAATTGGGGAGCATTCAACGAGGAGGAATGGGATTGTAAAAAGATAGAAATCATGCTATTTGAGGACTGACTAAATAAATGACAAAGTTTCACCTTTCAGGGATCGGGGAAGCTTTCCGATTGAGGTGACACTTGCACTGGCCTTTAAAAGATGAGTAGGAATTCAACAGGTGAGGGAGGGAAGGAAGAACATCTGGGAACAGGGCAGAATCTGCGCAAAAGCAAGGAGGTGGGAGGGCCCTGATTGTGTTTGAGAGGCCACCAAGACTCATTCAGGTTAGTTGGAACGTGGAGCACGTGGAGAGGCAGGGTTCTACCATGTTGTGGAGGCCTTGAATGCCATTTAGAAGAGTCTGAACTTTTCTCCATATGCCCCCATTTAATATTTGTTATATCAGAAAACCCAAGGGGTAGACAAGGGCAGATGTCATCATCATTTTGACAGAAAGGACCAGATTATGATCTTATCAATGTAGGAAACTCCTGGTGGGAAATTCTCTATCAATGCAGATTAGAACCTTTTTGGCAGCTTAAAGTCTTAGATGATTATTTCAGGTACTAAAAGATTAAGTGACTTATCTAGGGTCACCCAGTCAGTATGTGTCAGAGGCAGCACCAACCAAAAACAGTTAATGTTAGAATCTGAATTTGGGTTTTTCTGATGCACATAATACTGCATATTATCCTCATTTTACAGAAGGAAAAATTGAAACTCAGCAAGGTTAGGTGGATTTCCCTAGATCATATGATCAGCAGTGACCCTCTCTCCCCCCCAGACTCTATTTTTCATGGTGTGCCTTTCCACTTGGTTCAAAGATTTTTACGCATTTGGGGAGGGAAGTACCTGCTTCCTCATTTTAAGACAGATGAATTTTACCCAGGCCTTTTGCTTCAGCTGGTTTAAAGACCAGCTAGTTTTTGCTGCTCTTAATCAATTAACATTTATGTAGATTTATAGTAATGTGCTTTCAACTGGCCCTATTGTCCCCAGTTCATGGAAACCCACAAGTGCTGGGAGCCCAGAACGAGGTTACAAGGTCTCTAATTGTCTTCCTCTTCTATCATAATGGATTCTATCTTTTGAGAACAGAGGTGAGGTGGAAGGGAAGAATCGGCTTTTGTAGTGATTTTTTTTTCTCTTTTGTTCAGCTGTTGTCAGAGGCCATGAAGGCACAATGCGCCCAGAGACTGTAGCCCTGCTGGGTAAGTGGTCCATGAATTTTTTTTTTTTTGCCTCAGACATTTTTGTTCCCTGGCTTTGGGACACATTAATGAAGCCAAGTGTGTCAGAATATGAGGGCCAGGGAAGAGACAATATAGCAGATTACCACAGAGAGAACAATTGAAATAATTAAGGTGGTCAGAAGAATTGATGTCAAATCAGGAAATATTAATTGAGCAATTACTGTGAGCAGAGCCCATAGTAATTACTATCTTTAGCACTGGGGGGGTGAGGACTGGGGGGTACAGAGCAGAGACAAGGACTGGGAACCACATGGAGAAAGGTCCAGAGTTGCTGAGATGGCCAACTATTGTGAATGCTATCAGACAGTTGACTGAAAGTTAAACCTAGGTACAGATAACAGATTTTATATTTTGAGCAATGTTTCATTTCATTCCTCAGACTAATTTGTCTGACTATCAGGGAAATGATTCATGCTGATTAGCTCCAACCCTGTTTTGGGCTTGCCGGTGGTAGCAACCTCAGGGATTACAATAGCTAATGATTATAATAGCATTTAGATAGTGTTTCAAGGTTTGTAAAGCACTTTACAATTCTGTCATTGTACTTATTGTTATTGTCATTGTCATCATCCCATTTTGTGCTCGTTACCACCTTGAGAGGTAGGTGCTATTATTACCTCCATTTTACAAGTAGGGAAACTGAGGCAAACATTTTCTTTAAAAATAATTTTGTACAGAATCACAGAGCTAGTAAATAGCTAAGGTAGAATTTGAACTGGTTTTAGGTCTAGCATTCTGTACATTGCTCTACTTAAGGTGGATACTAGAACATTTAGATACTAGAACAACTAAATTTAGGCCCGTCACTGAGCCCAGTGAGTGAAGTAGAGCGTCAGCTGATGAGCACTTCTGTTGCACTTCTTCTGTAGATAACTGATACAGTGACACATGCCCTACCACAATGACATATCTAGCATGGGGCACAATGCCTGGCATAGGAATGAATGCTCATTGGTTGATCGATATGGTTTTTTGTTTGTTTGCTTGTTTGGGTTTTTTTTTTTTCGAGGCAGTCAAGGTTAAGTGACTTGCCCAGGATCACACAGCTACTATCAAGTATCTGAGGACAGATTTGAACTCAGGTCCTCCTGACTCCAGAGCTGGTGCACTATCCACTGTGCCACCTAGCTGCCTTGACATGTTGTATTTTACAAGATTAAGCAAGGTGGCACATAAACTATAAAGCCAAAGGGTCCCATAAGAGAGGGTAAATATTTAACGACCAGTTATATAGGAAAAAAATATACCCAGGACACATTTTTAAGTTTAATCTGCTTTATCAACATTTTCTCCATTACTTTCCAGATGATCAACAAAACAATACATTAAGCCCCGATTTGTAGTATTTGCCGATTTCCAAGGTGTAAATACTTACACTGAAAATTTAACAACCAGCTTTCATGAGCTGGTTTGAGCTAGCTCCAGCACACCCTTGGTCCCAAGTAAGGGAAAGAAGGAAGAGTGAGTGTCACTTAAACAGCACTGATTTTTGCCTTAGATCATTTCCTTGCTATCCTGGATGGGAAGAACTGAGGTAGACTGCATGACAGTCTATATTATCAACCTCTATGTCTTGCCCAAATGTGAAAAATAATAACCTTCCAAAAACTCTACTCTGGTCCCTCATCATGACACAAGGGTGACCCTGGGTTCTCAATAGTCACGAGCACAGAGTACAAGATCTGCAAAATTCTGTCATATTGAAAAAAAATGGATTTTAGTAGGGTCACAGTAACACAGTATAGGCAACTGGGTTCAGTAGAGCAGTAGGCGCCTTGGTAATGGAACCACATAAAGAAGTTATGTATAAAATTGTTCTCTGTCTTATGGGGCCCCCTTCTGGTTCTGCAGTGGTAATAGAAGTTTAAAAAAAAAAGGCAAAAAGTGCTAAGAATCATACAAATTTTAGATTTTCTATTGATTTTAACTTAGTTCTCATTAAAGGTGAGACCTTTGCCTATGACCAATAGACTAGAGGAATTGAATCATATCAGTTTGGACATATTTGCTATAAATAATGCTAGAAAACAAAAGAAAGTTGTAGCTAAATGGAATGATGACTCACATGTATTTCTCCTTGAAGAAGCAAATAAAATAGTTGCTGTAGTTAGCTGACTTTATTGAACTAGGCTTGGAGTCAGGAGGACCCAAGTTCAAATCCAGCCTCAGACACTTACCAGCTGTATGATCCTGGGCAAGTCATTTAACTTCTGTTAATTTCCTTAACTATAAAATAGGGATAATAAGAGCTCCTACTTCCTAGGGTTGTTGTGAGAAACAAATGATATAATATTTTAAAATGATTAACACAGTGCTTGCCGTGTAGTAGGTGCTGTATAAGTGTTTATTCCCTTCCTTTCCTAGAACCCTCCCTGCTCATCCAAAACATCACTTCATGGATCATTTCTTATTGTATTACTCATGAGAAGCATTTGCAAAGAGACAATGATCAAGATAATTACAGCTTTTTGCCATATGTTGCAAATAATAATGAGGTAAAGAAGTCCTAACAAGAACTCAGGAAGACCAACAAAATTCAGTCAACATACCCTCTAATGGAAGCCAATTAGGTGATATGGTGGATAGAGTGCTGGACCTAGAGTCAGAAAGACTTGAGTTCAAATCCTGACTTACTAGATGTGTGACCCTAAGCAAGTCACTTAATCCATGTCTATAACCAATGCATGCCTGTTTGCCTTAATAACACCCACTTCCCAAGGCTGTTGTGAGGATAAAATTAGATTATATTTGTAAAGCATTTTGCAAAACTCAATGTTATATAAATTCTAGCTATTATTATTATTATTAGATTTCCCCTCATTCTATGCAAAGGGAAAAGTGGCCAAAAAAGGTAGAAAACATGGAGAAAAGAGAAAAGCTAAAGCCTTGAACACTATACAAAATTCTCGTGTCCATTTATCATGAATATTTTGAGAAGAGTGAGACTTTGGACATGGTCAGCACCACATAACGTTTTTTAAATAAAATTGATTTTATTTTAGTAGACAAAAAAATTGGCTACTGATAATGGTAATAATTTCCAATGCAGGGAAAAGTGAGTTTACAGGAAATGTGGTGAGATCCAATTAAGCCAGATCATACTAAGAATATTTAAAGATAAAAACTAAGTGAACAGGAGACCAAAAAAAAATGGGAAAGAATTGTTAAGATTTTTGTTACTGACTCTTTTCTTCATCAATGACAGAGAAGCCACTACTTTGGGACTTTCATATCACAATTTCCACTGTATAATATGTGGAAGTAGAAACATCACAAAAGAAAACAAAATTGGGAAGGTAATTCAGAGTAGACCAAGATTCCATACAGAGGAGATGTATGCTAGAGTTAGCACACTTTGGAGAGATTTAGGGGATTCTTGAGATGATTGAAGGAGGGAATGATGCCAAATGCTTAGAAAAATCAAGACCTTTATTATCACATCCCCTCACTTCCCCCAGTCCGCAAATTCCCAAAAGGCATATGAGAAAATAGCAACAACTATCCAGTCCGCAAACCTACCTTTCCATGGCAACAAAAATTGTATGTGAATAATCTGGACACACACATCACAGGATACAATTCCAGACACTGGAATAGCCTGAGCAGAAGTATATGTGTTTTAGAAGGAGTACATAGGGTAGTCTGGTTTGATTGGAGTAAAATGTGCATAAATGGGGAGAAGAGGGTGAAATAGGGAAGGTGGTACCAGATTGTGGTAGGCCTTGAATGCCAGGCAGAAGACTTTGAATTTGACAGGATATACTGAGGCACTGAAGATTTTTGGTCAATGAAACATAATCAATGAGACATGGCCAGATCTATACATAAGATTATTAGACTGGACTAGGCTAGAGGATATTATTGAAGATGGTATAAGAAGGCAACAGTAGACTTCGGCAAATTATCCTACAGCAGGCCACCTCTTTGCAGTCACATAGTTGCCTGAAAAATGCAGATACTACAAAATCCCACTGTACTCATTTTTTTAAACTATTAATTATTTGATTTGAAAGAACTAACTGCCGCTTTTGTTGGCTCTCCTCCAATAAGATCTCTCCTGTACCTGCTCCAAAATTCATAAGAGTCTGAAAGATGTAACAACAGGAATGACTTTGTAAGAAAACTCCTAGTTATCATATCAGATGAAGCTTAAAACAGAACAATGAGTGGTCACCAAAGGTCTTTGCTCTTGTCATAAAGGTTGTCCAACTCTGAATCCCAATGGAGGAGGGATTTCCTATAAATGTTGACTCCTTCCAGATGTTCCTGTTTACAGATGACATTGTGCTGACAGAATAAAGCCCAAGAGCTTCCTCAATGTGATTCATAGTCACTCAAAAGAGCTCATATGAATGTAGAAAAAATCAAGGAGAGGAAGAATGTGGTCCAGGTTGAGACCTGTAGTTAATGAGATCGTAAAATCTTATATTTAGAGCTAAAAGTGGACTGGAGAGGCCTTTAAGTCTGACCTCATTTTATAGATGAGGATATTGAACCTCAGAGAGGTGGAGGGACTTAGTCAACGTAGTATAGCAGTTAAGGTCTGAGGCAGGATTGGAATCAAGATCTTACTAATCCAAGGTCCAGTTTCATATACACATATATATATATTCATGTATACATATACATCCATATTTATCTATGTATGTGTACCTCTATAGACATAAATATTTATACATAATGGTATATACATAAAGTGAAGTGGCATAGTGGATTGAGCACCAGACTTGGAGTCAGAAAGATCTGAGTTTGAATTTAGCTTTAGACATACGACTCCCAGGAGGTTGGGCAGAGCCCTTCTTCAGTGCAATTTATGGGAGGTCCTTGGACAAGAATAACATGAAATGAGAAAGTATGGATTTACCTGTATAGGTTACATCCTATACACTGAATTGAATTACCCATATTGATGAAATCATAGAAGTAGCCAAGTAAGAACAGTAATGCACATTTGTACAGTTCTCTGTAGTTTCAAAGTAGTTTACGCATATTCAGGTAAGAAAGTATTCATTAAGCGCCCAATATGTGCCAGAGACTGTGCTGGGTGTGGAGATACAAAGACAAAGATGAAATAGTACGTCCCCTCCAGGAGTTTGATTTCTATAGGGGAAACACAAAATGCGTGTAAGGTAGTTTGGAATTCAGCGCTAGCAGCTAGACAAATCAGAATACACCTCGTGTGGAAGGTGGCACTTAAGCTGGGCTTTGAAGGAAGGGAAAGATTCTAAGAAATGGTAGGTCCAGAGGAAGTGTGTCCAAGACATAGGGGACAGCCTTTGCAAAAGCATAGAGATGGTTGATGAATGGATTGCATGATTAAAAAGCAAAAATATCTGTTTGGCCAGACGGGTCCGGTGAGTTAAGAATAGTAGTGTTCTCTTGTGAAGTTCAGATGTAATGTTATTATCCCCATTTTATAGATGAGGAAACCAGGGCTTAGCAAGGTGCTGTGATTTGTCAAAGGTAATACAGCTAACAAGGATTAGAACTCAAACGCAGTGTACCTGAGCCCAAGCAGGCTACTCTTACTTCTCATCATTCTAATCACAACACTCATCAAATAAAGGCCATTAGCAATACAAATGAATGATCTTCAACAAATAAGGACGAGAAACAAAACCATAAAACCCATTAGAGGGCACCGTGGAGACATTTACCCTTTGAGAACTAGGTTCTAATGAATTCTCATGGATAAGAGCTTCAGGTTGGCCGACCCAGCATATGTGAAGTCAGAAGAAAGGATCTTGGTCTTTTGCAAAGACGCTACTTATGTCTTTGCATTTAGGCAGGGCCCCACTGACTAACTTGTCTAACGAACAGTTTCTATATATGAGCTATCTTCTGTGTGTTTTAGGACCCATGCAGCCTGTTTCTATATTGAAGGGAGTAACTAATGCCTTGTCTGGCCTCAAATCTGGGGACTCAGATGTGCAAGCTTTGGAACCCAACCCTAAGGAGACGAGAGGAAAAGGTGAGTAGGAAGTCCAGCACTGCCCATATAGATAGATAGAGATATGAGAGAGCATTAAACCACTGTTTGGATTCTGAGCTCCAAAATGGCAGTATTGTAATATTGAATCCAAGGTGGGTATGTTTGGTTTGACTGTATGTGTATGTCTGTAATACATGTGTGTGTATATATATGTGTGTGTGTGTGTGTGTGTATGTGTGTCTACCTGTGTGTGTGAGAGCGAGAGTGAGAGAGAGAGAGAGAGAGAGAGAGAGAGAGAGAGAGAGAGAGAAACAGAGAGACAGAGACAGAGAGAGACAGAGACAGAGACAGAGAGAGAGAAAAAGAGAGTATCTTAAGGCAAACTCAGGAAATAGGAAAAAATTATTATTAGCACAAAAAGGCAGCAGCGTTGCGTGTGGCCAACCTCTATTCAGACTGGCACTGCTTTTTACAGTCAGTAATAAGCAACATTCACATAAGGGCAAAAGTATTTTTGATTGGTACATGTAATCATGAGGAGATGAGACTAGCGGACATATACAAGACGTCTTAGGAAGTGTACTGCTACCTACTCAAAGTCTAAATAAGGTTTCAAAAGGGAGTCACTCAGGCTGACTCATCACAAGTAACTGACTTTGCACATATAGGCCTATGTTAATATGCATGTATATATAATATGTATATTTCTATGTGTATATAATATATGTATATCTATAGGCATGCATTGTTCAGTTCAGTTCATTTCAATAAACATTTAATAAACACCTACTATATGATAGGCACTGTGCTAAATGCTGGGAATACAAATGAGAAAAAGGCAACCCCTGCCCTCAAGGAGTTTATAATCTAATAGGGGAAGAAAACATCAAAAGGAAGCTAAAAAGGGCAGAAGACCAACAGTGTATGTTATAAACATGTATTACATGCACACCAAAAAGTGCACACATATATACATGCATGTATATACATACATTATTATACACACATATCACAACAAATAATGCATATATGTTATAAGAGGTGTTGGAGGTCAAGAGGGGAGCTAGCTAAAGAGTTGTTCCCCCCTCAAAAAAAAAAAAAGATGGTCATTGCAGCATTTTTTTAAATGAATAGAACAGAAGTAAATTCAGAAGGAAACAGAGAAGCAGGGCATCTTTGAAAGTAAAATATTGAATTTACTATATTCTTTTTAAAAATTAACTTTTTTTCAATGAAAATTTACCTTTTTACCTCTTTACCTCCACACCCCATCTCTCCTGAAAAAAGAAAAAAGAAACAAACCCCTGCTTATATTAAAGCAAAAACAAATTACTCTATTGGCTATGTAAAAAGAAAAGTCTCAGTCTGTACCCTGAACCCATCATCTTTCTATCGAAAGAAGACCTCTGGAGCCATGTCTGGTCATTGCATTCACCAGAGTTCCTAAATCTTTCAAAGCTGTTTGTTTTCACAATATTGTTGTTATTGTATAAGTTGTTCTTTTGGTGCTATTCACTTCACTTTGAATCTGTTCATACAAATCTTTCCAGGTTTCTTTGAAACCATCCCCTTCATCATTTCTTACAGTATGATAGTATTCCATCACATTCATATTCCATAACTTGTTAAGCATTCCCCAATTGATGGGCTCCTTCTTAGTTTCCAATTCTTTTTTTTTTTTTAATTAGGCAATTGGGGTCAAGTGACTTGCTCAGGGTCACACAGCTAATAAGTGTCAAGTGTTTGGTCTGAGGTCAGATTTGAACTCAGGTCCTCCTGACTTCAGGGCCAGTGCTCTATCCACTGTGTCACCTAGCTGCCCCCAGTTCTTTACCATCAAAATAAATAAATGAATAAATGAAGAAGCTGCTATAAATATTTTTTGTATACTCTCAGATAGAGGTTGTTTTGTTTAGAACTAATCCTTCCATTAATATACCTTCTCTCTTATTCCTCCTTCCTCTTTCTTTCGCTTGCTTCCTATTTTTCTATTTAGGAAGATATGTTTCTGTGCCCAACTGTGTGTGTATTCTTCTACCATTTCATATGAAAATGTCACCTGTTCCCCCACCCCTTCTTCCTTAGTTGTGTAGATTACTATTTGTGAACCCTTTTATGTGAAATAATTTCCCCTATACTTCTCCCTAATATATGCTTCTTCCCCTCCCTTTCCATTTTCCTTTTAAGATAGTCAAAACTACTCTCATTACCTCAGTCTAATTAGACTCCCTCTGTGACCCCTGAGGATGAGAGGATTCTGAGGACACACATGTATCATCCTCCCGTATCCTCCCGTAGACAGTTTGGTTTATCCTTGTTCTGTTCCTTGTGTTTGCTCATCTTCATATTTTGTGGTTTCTCTTGACTCCTCTGTTTGTACTTCATAGTTTCTATGTAACTCTGGTCTTTTTGTCAAAAATGATTTGAAAGTCCTCTATTTCATGAAAAGGTCCATTTTCTTCCCTATAATATTATGTTCCGTTTTTTTGGCTAAGTTGTTCCTGGTTGTAAGTCTATATCCTTTGCCTTCTGGAATGTAGTATTCCAAGCTCTCCATTTCTATAATAGTGGTAGCTGCAAAACTGTGTGATCCTAACTGTGGCTCCTCCGTATTGAATTCTTGCCTCCTAGCTACGTGTAGTATTTGATCTGTTTGGTTTTTATCTTTGACCTGGAAGCTCTGGATTATTTAGCCATAATGTTCCTGGGAGTTTTTAGTTGGGGGCTTCTTTCTGGACACTTATGATATCTTTCTATTTGCACTTTTCTTTCTGCTTTTCAGAGACTTGTGTAGTTTCCTTTTATTATTTCTTGAAATATGCCTAGGCTCATTTTTTTTTTCCTTCTCGTCATAGCTTTTAGGTCGTTATCATTGTTCAGTCATTTCAGTCACGTCCAATTTTTTGTGATCTCATTTGCGGTTTTCTTGGCAAAGATATTGGAATGGTTTGCCACTTCCTTCTCCAATTCATTTTACAGATGAGGAAACTGAGGCAAAAAGTGTGAAGTGACTTGCCCAGGATCACACAGCTAGTAAGTGTCTGAGGCCAGATTTGAACTCGGGAAGATGAGTCTTTCTGACTTTAGTTCTAGCACTCTGTCTACTGCGCCACCTAGCTGCCCCTTTAGTTATTTTTAAATTGTCTTCCTCTGATCTGTTTTCTAGGTCAATTGTTTTTGTCACAAGATACCTTATATTTTCTTATGTTTTTTTTCAGTCTTTTTTATTTTGTTTTAATATTTCTTGTGGTCTCACGGAATCATTAAGTTCTATTTGTGAAATACATTTGACCCAAATCCAGAGTGCATATCAAACTATTTCCTGCCTTCCTCTCCTCTATGGTAAACTCAATGACTGGTCATTTTCTCCTCAAGGCTTCCATCATTTCTACCCTAGCAACCAGTTCCTCCTCACAAAATATTTAGATAAATTGATGCATTACAATGCTATAAAGGATTATTAAGAGAGGTGAGAATCCTGTGGGCACCAGCCTAACCTTTGATGCTGATATCAACAAGGAGAGTCCAGCCTTTCCCTTAGGTTAGATACAATTTATCCAGCATGATGCTGATTAGAATTTCAAAGATGGAAGCAGCCCTCAGGATTGTGTATTCTGACTCCCTCAATAAGGGAACAGAGGTTAGGTACTGGAGAGGGGTTAGGTACTGGAATAAGCAGGAGGCCTGGGTTCCCTGCCTTGCCAAGCTAGTGACGTGTTAATTCAAGTCACTATATCTCTCTGTAGTTTCTCATTGAGAAAATATGAAACCTGTAATTCCAAGGTCTAGTAATATGCATATTAAAGTGCTGAATATGTATGTACACATAGGCCTATTGTATCTAGGTATCTAAGAATCTGGTTTTAAATCTATGTGCATTCCATCACTATAGCAGAGAGAAACATCAGCAATGATCTCAGTTGGACTCCAAGGCTAAATGTCCCATTTGGATGATTGAAGGAAACTTTCTTGACCCTTTGAAAGCTAATTGACTTTAGATATGAGTGGAGCTTCTTTTAGGGTGATGGGAACAGGTTTCATTCAAATATTCCTTGCTGAAAGACAGTTAGCTGTGCTTGCTGACCTTCTGCTCCTCCAACTTTTAATGAGAAGGCCTCTGGAGAAAAGATGAGTTTGGGATCCAGCATCGCTTACTGGTTCATTACACATTTGGAGACTCATCCGTATCTCCCTATGGCAGAAAGACTTAATGGAAATGTTCCCTGCAGTCTTAAGGGGAAAATGTTATTGTTAGGAGCCAAGTTAGTCAAGAGTCTCAAGCTGTGAGGCCATCCCACCCCCATCCTTCAGGGGCCAGTGGGTGGCATGTCCATGTCCCCCTACCCCACACACACATCAGGCAAATGAGGTGTAGCTAAAAGACCACTCTATTAAGAGCCAAGAGACCTAGATCTGCATGCCACTTCTGCCGTTTTGGTTCTGTGACTCTAGGCAAGTCACTTTACCCAGGATTCAGTTTTCTCATCTGCAAAATGGAAACATATACCCTACCTACTTCATAGCATTTTTATGAGGATCAAATGAGATAATGTATAGAAAGTGTTTGTTAGTATAGAGAGCTACATAAAGATCAGCTAGCCTTAACAGCCACAGCTATAGAAATAAAAGTAACAACTCTAATAACCTAGGGTTACCAGGAAATGGGAGCAGCTTTGTAGCATGGGAATAGAGATAATGAGTCTTTAGCTAGGCACAGAGGAGGTAGGAGTGGGCTTGAGGTACAGGGGAAAGCATCAACATATCAGCGATTCAAGAGCAGAAAGCTAAGCCATGCCTTGAAAGGACACTTCAGATCAGCGCGCAGGACTGGGAATCACAAGCAGAAACAGAAGTGAGGAAGAGATTCATAGTTTCTTAGACATTTCCATTTAGAAGGAACTTTAGATGTCTACTGCAACCACTTTATTTTACAGAGGAATAAACTGAGGCCCATTGTTGAATTGAACACTCCTCCTTATGTTCTTTAAAAGAAAGTGCCACAAAATGTGTGGACCACATGTGGGGGAAAAGGTAAAGTAGAACGAGAGGATGTGGGCCACCTTGAACCTTGAGATTCTCCATCTCCATTATTCCTGATTTAGAGTTGCTGTTGTTGTCAGACTATGGTTAGGATGTATGAGTCCAAAAAGTGTGAATTAGCAGCATTTTTTTAAGGCCTAGACATCCTTTACTTCACCTTTCACCCAAAGGCACCCAGTGCCTAAATGCATGCCCATTAGAGTGTTCTGCTTGGCCTTTCCTTCCTAGGAAGAAGTTGGTGCTTCAGACTTTACCCCCATCCTCCCCCTGGGTCCTTTTCCTTAGTTCTATGGAACGAGGTTATCCAAGCTAAGATGTTAAGTGTTAGTGTTGCCACTCATAGTGGCTTAATCTGCATAATATTAGCATTTTAATAGCCACCTTCAGTTCTTTGCCCTTAAGGAGTATGTTATGGGTAATTTCAGACACCCTGGGTCAATATGGAAGATATTGTTACAAGGACAAGACTTATCCAGTGCCACTCAGAGCAGCCACCCGTTGCGTAAGACTAGCCCTGTATGAGATACCATTGTCCTATTCAGACAATGTGCAATGAAGCCTTCCAGTCTTGGTCTGTAGATACCCATTCTTACCCCAAAGCCTGTACCTCATTATGTAAGATCTCCTCATCATTGAAACAGGTTTGGATTCACAAGGCTCATCCTTTTGAGATGAATTGGTCTCTTTTAGGCACTGTTCTTGCAGTTGAAAGAGCCATCTCATCAGTCCTCCAGAGTCATGATTAGTCATTCATTGATCAAAAATCTTAAGTATTTCAGAGTTATTTTTTTTTTTAAATTTACATGGTCGTTGCTTTGGTATAAATTGTTCTCCAGGTTCTTCTCACTTCACTGTGCATTATAGAAGTCTGGTCGGGTTTCTCTGCAAACATCCACTTTGTCATTTTTAGACAGTACAGTAATATTCCATTACAGTCGCATACCATGTTTTATTCAGCCATTCCCCATTTGATGGGGACCCCCTTTGTTTCTAGCTTTCTGCTTCAGTGAAAAGAATTGCTAAAATACTTTGTATATATGGGTCCTTTTCCCTTTCCTTTGATCTCATTCAGGATATATGCCTAGTAATAGTATCCTTAAGAGTATATATACTTCAGTGGATCTACAACTTTTTTTTAACCTAATCACCTTTTGCCATTTAATTTATTTTTAAAATAGTTTTTAATATATATCTTTTGGTAAGACTGTAAGCTCCTTGAGAGCAGGGATGGATTTTTTTGCCTTCCTTTGTATACTCAATCCTTAGTACAATTTCTGGTACATAGTCAGTGCTTAATATATGCTTATTGATTTGACTGATTTTTACATTAGTTAGATTTCCCCTATATCCCTCCCCCTCTCCATCCACAACCTTTTAAGGAAAGAGAGCTATTTTCCTTTCCCCCAAAGACTGGAAATCATTCTAGGGCTCACAATAAGTAAAAGTAAGGGTAGCCTTGGAATGACAGGGGGAAGGGAGAAAGGTATCTTGGTGGTAACTAATTTGGAAGCCTTCTCTGATCCCTGTCAATAACAATTTTGAGGATACAATGTTTAGACAAGACACTATCCCTGGTCTCATGGTAAATGAAGGGAAGATTTATGACTCTTGTACATAAAATCAGAACTTCTATGCAACTATTTCCAGAAGAATGTTAATAGCACGTGACTTTTTTTTTCAAGGCTTCTCTTCATGTCGATTTTAAGTCAATTTGACCTACATACAAATGTTGTTGGGGAAAGGTACAAACTATTTAGTGTGATTTAATCCTCGCTTAAATCTATAGACAATTCTAGATGTAGGGATTGCCACCCCTACAGCTCCCACCAGACAGTTTAACAGGTGGAGGAGAGAAGGTGGTAAGGTGAGCAGTTCTGGCCAGGGTATTTAAAAGGACACATAAAGAAACAAACCTGGGAAATATACTTGCTGATATTTATATCCACACTGATGGTAGATGTATTGAACAAACAATCAGTGGTCACTGTGTGCTAGGTGAGGGTCATGCAAAGATGAAAAAATACATAGTCCCTGACTAAACAGAGCTCTTAATTGAGTAGAGAGATGACACGTGTTCATAAACAGCCCTAGTACAAGCTAGGATGTGGTAAGTGAACTGGCAACATCAGAGCTATTTATAGGGAATGACTTCATCATCCCCAGAAATTTTGATTAGCAGTAAGAATGACAATGATAATGCCTTCTATTTATTAAAGGTTTTGCATGTCTCTTCAAAGCACTTTCTTGTGAATTATCTAATTTGTTCCCCAGACAAACTTGAGATAAGGTGGATGTTAATTTCATTAGATTGTAAATTTTCAAACATTGTACACAGTAACAGCAATAGGAAAGCAATATGAAAGACTTAGCTACACTGATCAACACAATAAGGCAAGCACATTCCAAAGGACTTATGATAAAAATGCTGTTCACCTCCAGAGAGAGAGAGAGAGCTGATGCAGTCTGAGTGCAGACTGAAGCAAATGTTTTCACTTCCTTTACATTTTCTGTTTTATTTTTTTTTTGGCAACATGGCTAAATGAAAACATGCTTTACATGACTTTATATGTATAATTGATATCACATTGCTTGCCTTCTCAATGGGTGGGGGAAGGGTAGAAGGGAGGAAGAAAATTTGGAACTCAAACATTAAAAAAAAAAGGAATGTTAAAAATAAACGATTTTTAAAAATAAAAAACGATCTTAAGCTCCTTGAAGGTGGGGGCCGTCTTTCTGCCTCTCTTTGTATCCCCAGCACTTAGTGCAGTATCTGATACATAGTAGGTGCTTCATAAATGTTTGTTGATTGATTATTGCTTGATTACATAGGAGGAGCAGAATAGTATAATGGATAGAACACTGGACTTGGAGTTAAGAAGACTGGGTTCAAATCCCATCCAAGAAATTTACTAGCAGTGTTGAACCTGAGCAATTTATTTAACCCTTCTGGACCTGTTTCCTCATCTGTAAAATGAGGATGTTAGACTAGATGACCCTAAAGTCTCTTCCAACTCTAAATCTATATTTTCGTGGCCTTCGTCTGACAGATAAGAAGGCTGAGGGACAGAGAAGTAATGTTATTTCCCAAGATCGCACAGTATCAGAAAGAAGGCTAGAACTCTGGTCTTTTGACTCCAAGTTCTATTGTCTTCCAAAGGCCTTCCTAGGGGGCTCAAAAATCACTCTTATGGACTGCCAAGGATTTTACTGTCTTTAAGCGTAGATCCTGTGATGTCCTGTTGATTTTCTTTTGATTTTCTTTTTCTTCTTTTTTTTAAATTAGATTGTGACAGATTTACCTTTGTGCAACTGGGAGACAGTGGAGAAGTTAAGCAGGAGATGCCCCAGATTGGAGAAATGCTCTTTTGTCTGACAGCTCGGTGCCCAGAGGACTTTGAATCTTACGGCTGTTACTGTGGTCAGGAAGGAAGGGGAGACCCTGTTGATCCCTTGGATAGGTATGGGAGATTATAGCTGTATGATATGGATGCAGGGACCAGTGTCTGGACACACTACTGTCACAAGGTCAACTGGCATTAGTTCATGACAACTGAGCCCCGACTCACCAAAATAATCAGGATCAGGAATACTTTTTAGATCAGAATTCCATAACCGTATGTGTGTGTGTGTGTGTGACAGAGAGAAAGGGGGGGCACTGTGGCAGTCTGGTGAAGCCTGTAGACCCCTTCTCAGAATGTAAAATACAGAGTGTTACAAAGGAAACCAATTATATTGAAATGAAGATATACTTTTTTTTACCATCCAAGTTCACAGGACCCCTGAAATCTATCCATGGATCTCTTGGGGATCTATAAAGTCCATGTTAAGATCCCCTGCTAAGAATGATCCTAATCTTGTCTTATCAGCAAAAAACATCATGAAGGAGAGGGACAACCCACTAGACTTATTTATAAATGAAGGAGGGTAAAGAAATACTAATGTGCTAAACAGCCTAGTATATAGAACTAGATAGTTGCAAAGTATATGAAGTAGGTAATATAAGAAGTGATCAAATCCAGGAGCTCCATGACAGTCCTTCTGCCCCTTCCCCAAATAATGTCTCCTCCTCCTCTGTCTTGGTTCTTTATTTTTAAGATTATCTTCCATATACACTGCATATGACTTGTATGTATGTAGTTATACACTGGTTGTCTCTTCCATTAGAATGTGAGCACCTAGAGGACAATGCCTGTGTTTTTGCCTTTCTTTTCATCCTAAGTCCTTAGTGTTTCTATATTGCCTGATTATAGATGTCAGACTATTCTTGGTCTCTGCTGGGGGAAGAAAAAAAGGCAAAACAAAGAAAACAAAACAAAAACATAGGTAAGCCTGAACTTACTGGGTAGACAAAGTTGTTGTTCAGTCATTTTCAGTCATGTCTGACTCTTCTTGAATCCCATTTTGGGTTTTTTTTGGCAAAGATACTGAAATGGTTTCTCATCTCCTTCTGTGGCTCATTTTACAGAGGAAGAAACTGAAGCAAACAGGGTTAAGTGTCTTCAGGGTTAACTGAACAAGTTAATTCAGGATCACACAGCTAGTAAAGGTCTGAGGCCATATTTGAGCTCAGGTCCACCTGACTCCAGGGCTCTATCTACAGAATCATAAACTCTTAGAGCTGGAAGAGTCTCTAACTGAGTAGCGTTCATTCCACATTTATTGTCTACTGAGTGCCAGGCCTTGGATTGGGTGACTTTTAAAGATAGCACAGGCCTTAAAGACTGTCTAGTCGGGAGGTTATCTAGTTCAACCTCTTCGTTTTATAGATGGAGAAACTGAGGTTCAGAGACATGTGCCTGCATATATAGTGAGATTTTAAGAGTGTAGCAACGGCCACTAGCTCCCCTAGGAGTTCAGTTTCACATGTGATTCATGAATTAGGTACATGAATTCTGCAGCAGCATAAGAGCTAGGCTTATGCATGTCTTTGCTTTTTTAAAAAAAATCTTTTATCATGCTCATTTTGTTCAATTGTCACAAATCTTATTCCTACGTGGCTGGTTTAGTTTAAGGTTCTCTCCTGGGTTTTCTCACCTTTTCAATCTATAGCATCACAGTGGAGATTTCATCAGCTTCCATGGGTTTAATCATCGCCTCTATGCAGAGATCTCTCTCTTGCTTTGAGTCCCACATCACCAGCTGCCTATTGGACATTTCAAATGCGATGTTCCATGGGCATCTCAAACTGGAAGCTCTTCACAACCTGGCCCCCACCTACCTTCCCAGCCTTATTCCACTTTACTCCCTTCTACACACTCTAAATCTGGCCACACTGATCTACTTGCCACTTCTCACTCATAGCACTCCATCAACCTTTGCACTTACTACCTTCTATGCTTAGAAAGTTCTCCCTTCTCACCTCCAACTTTGAGTTTGCATGGCTTCCTTCACGTCTCATAACCAACGCCTCCTCCTGCAAGAGGCCTTTCCTGGGCACTCCAGCTGTTAGTGGCTTCTCCATTAAGGTTACCTACTATTTATTCCACGTGTAACTTGTACACACCTGTTTTTTGACATTACTCTCATTAGTATGTAAGTTTCTTGATGGTAGGGACTGTTTTTTTTACCTTACCTTGCATCCCCAGCACTTAGCATACATAGTGCTTGGCAATACTAAGTGTCAGAAATGTTGAATGATTAACATAAACTCTTTTAATATAAATGGACACTGGTTATTCTACTCGAACCCTGCTGAGACAAACCAACAATCAATTTGTTGGTTGCATCACATTCTGATTAATGTGTTCAACAACTCACCTTTTATTCGTGGAGCATCCAATACATTTTCAATCAATATCTGCACCAGCTTATTACACAAATTGTGTGATCCTGGCACAGAGAGCAGAACACAAGGACATGATGAGGGGTTTTTTTGCCACCATTACAACTTTGTTTCCCCAAAGAATTTTTTGGCTGGTTTCACCTAACTCCAGGAATTCATAGGATACAGTTTTAGGAATGTTGCTGTATATTCATGGTTTACAAGAGAGCATTGTTAATATATTGCTTTTTTTTTCCTTAAAGGAAGGGACATAGGAGTTTGTTTTTAAAGAGAAAATAAAGTTATGCCTGTACAATTGGTACCTTTGGACAACAAATGTTTTGCTTTGTCGTAGATGTTGCTTTTCACATCATTGTTGCTTGGAACAAGTAAAGAAATTTGGCTGTGGGTTAGAGAGGAGTTCAAGATCCAAAGTGACATGTGAGGATCACAAAATAAAATGTAAGTGATTCCATAGAGTTTTTTGCTCAGGTCAAGCCATCAGAGAATAATTGAGTGCCTACTACATGTTCAAATAGTCCTTCCTTTCAAACAGCTTAATAATTTGGTTAGAGATAGGAAATAAACACACGATGTGTGTGTGTGTGTGTGTATAAATACACAATAAAATAAATATAAAGTAAAATATTTTTATAACATAATTATACAATTAGAAAAACACAAGAAAAATTAGCAAGGTAAAAGCAAATACAAGATCAATAACACAACTACAAATAATTCAAATTTTAACTATACTGAATTTTTAAAAGTTCTAATGGTGCCTTTGTTTTTTACACCATTGTTATTCTCTACCCACCCACCCCAATTCTCTATATAACTAACAAAGTTAATTCATATCCATTGCCAAAACAGTTGTCTAATAATATATGCTTATTCTACCCCCATAGTCCCTACCAGATGCATTTCATTATGTATTTTCCAAAGATTGATTATTGTGACTAATCTGAGTCTGACTGCCTTATTTATGTTGTTGTAATCATTGTATGTGTTATTCTCCTCATTTTACTTATTTTGCTCTGAATTTTGATCGTCAGATGAATGCTGGATGGTCAACATCATCTTAAGGTGATGGGATTTATGCTTCATTTAGGAACTAGATTAGATGGCTCTAAAGTTCTCTGATTCCATGAAATTGTTATTTTAAATGGCATTAGCTCCAATTGAAAGTACTATTTCTCAATGCATCAAGCAAAGAATGTTCATTGAACATCTATTATATAGATTAGGCACTCTGAGGCCTATTAAGAAGTATACATTGGAAGGATTTGGGTACCCAGAAATGATATTAGATAAAGACAGATGAAGAAAATGGGAATGTTTAACTTGGAGCAGAAAAGGCTTAGGTGGAGCATGAGAGCTTTCATCAAATTCATGAATGACTGTAAGATGGAAGGGTCATGCTTTGCTTGGCCCAAGAAGATAGAACTAAACACAATTGAAAGAAATTGCAAATAGGTAGATTTAGGCTAAATATGATGGAAAATTTACTAGAAATGTAAGCTGGCCAAAAGTAGAGTGAGTTGCCTTTCCAGGACATAACAAATTCCCTGCCAATGGAAGCATTCAAGTAGAAATTGGATGACCGCTATACTGGGGGATCTATAAAGGCAATAGGATAGGCTGCTCAGGGATAGAGTGGAATGGGCTATTTCTGTGATGCCTTCCAACTTTTGAGTCTATTTTTCCAAGAAGACAGAGCTCCTGTCCATAAGTCACTTGCCATCTAGCAGAGGAGATAATCAACCAATAAACATTCCTTCAGTATCTATCATGCACCTTACATAGTACTCAACTCTGAGTATAAAAAGAAAAAAAAATAGAATAGGTCCTCCTTCAAGGAGCATAAATACACAAATAAGGAAAATTAACAATACAAAGCATCATATGCTAAGGGTCAAATGAGTGGCAGTGACAATGTTTCTAACAGAGTAGGCACTTAATTAAGTCTTGTAGAATTGTATTCAGGGGAGCAAAGGAAGGAAAGATCACTTTCAGCTGGGATCATCAGAGAAGTTTTCATGGAAGAAGTAAAATTTGAATTGGGCCTTGAAGGGTTAACTGAGTGTTTGTTTGTTTGTTTGTTTTAATTACCTTCATTTCAGTTGAATGACAGGGTTAGAAGCCAGTTAGCAAAGGGTAAGAAGTGAGGATCAGACTAGAAAAGTTCCATTGGGGAAAATCTTCATGGAGGAGATAGGATTTGAGTTGACTCTTGAAAAATGGATAGGATGTACAAATGTAAAGATTTGGGGCACTGGAAAAGAGTTTTGCAAGTGAAGAAGATGCAGAGTAGAGAAAGTACAAAGAGTTGGCCAGTGAAGAGATATGGCTAGAGCTAAGGTTGTATGTAAGAGAGAAGCCTGGAATGGTTAATTGATGAACACTGAAAATCAGGATCTGGTCAAAAAACTGATAGATCAATGGCAGCTTAGGCTACCAGGTGAAATAATAACAATATGACCAATAACAATAATTTAGATTCCTGTAACTCTTTAAAGAGAGGATAGACAGACAGACAGACATTCAGCCAGCCAGATAGATAGAGATAGATAGGCAGTGATAGCATTTATTAAGCACTTAATAAATGCCAGCCACTGTGCTAAGTGCTAGGGATGCAAATACAATCAAAGAAGATAGCCCCTGCCTTTAAGGGGCTTACATTCTAATGTGGGAAGACAACATATAAAAAAGTGCTGGGAAGTGGTGGGTGGGAGAGTACTTGAATGTGTTGGGGGAGACTTTATAGTTACAAAGTACTTTTGCACTTATCTTTTTCGTCTGAACCTCATAACAACCCCATAAATTTTATAAGGAAGGTGGAATTATCTCCATTTGATATATAGGGAAGCCCTAACACATGACTTGTCCTAACAGGACAATTGCCATTCCTATCCCACCTTGAAATTCAATTCATTAGCTGTTTATTCAGTGCCTATTGTGTAAAGATTATTATACTTGGTTCTAGGGCAGATACAAACTACAAAAGATCAACATGTAGAATAAGGAAGGTGTTTATTCTGTTTTCCTCCACACCAGTCATACCACAGCTAGTACATTCTGTCTAGTTCTCAGTATCACAAAACAGAAAGAGCTCAGATGAGTTGGGGTATGTCCAGAGAAATGTAAGTGGGATGGTAAGGGAACCGAAAGCCCTACTATATGAGGATCAGCTAAAGGAATTGGAGACATTTAGACTGGAGTAAAGAAGATCAGATTGGACGAAGGTACAGGTATCTTCAAATCTATGGAAGAGAACTCAAACATTTGTTTTACTTGACCCTGGAAGGCAAAACTAGGACTAATGAGTAGAATTTACAAGGAAGAACCCATTGGAAAAGCATAAGAAAAAAAATTACCTAAATGTAAGTCTTGCAGAAGTGAACTAAACTTACACGTTGTAAATTAGCATGGGAGTTCTCCATCATTGCATATTTTCAAGTAGAGGCTATATGGTCACCTATTAAGGTTGCTATAGATGATAGCCTTGCTTTAGGCAGGGGCTAGACAAGACTGTCTCCAAAGTCCCTTCCAACTCTTCAAGGAGTTATAATTCAGCATTCTCACAGATTGCTATGAAACAAAATTGTGCTTGACAGAAGCATTAATGTTAACAAATTTCTAATGAAATAGAATGCTCAACTTAAAATTTGAGAAGATCCGAGTTAGAATCTAGATACTGCCTGTTACTTTGTAATAATGGACAAGTCATGTAACCCTCTGAGCCTCAGCTTCCTCATCTTTAAAATGGGGATGATAATATCATACTACCTGTGTCCCAAGGCTACTGTAAGGAAAGCCTTGGTAAAATGTAAAGTTGTCCTTTGTACACATGAGTGCTTCTTGGTGACAAGGATGGAACATTCTGAGCTGCCTGTTATTTTGCTTTTGCTTCTTCAGGTAGTGGTCAGAGTCTGTGTGACAATCTTCTGTGCTCCTGTGATCAGACTGCTGCCCAGTGTATGGCTGCTGCAACATTCAATGAGAGTCTTAGATTCTGGAGCAGATCCAGGTGCCGGGAGAATGGAACACTCTGTGAAGACAGTAACCACGAATGGCCTTTGGCTCCTACTGGTTTAGGGAGCAGGAGCTCAAGCTCTGATGAGAATAGCAGTGAAGAGTCAATTGCTTCCCTCGAGGGGGGCTTCAGAAGAAAGAAAAGATTTTTGGGAAAGCCATTTGGCAATACTGGTTCCAGGACAGCCCATGGACAATAATTTCAGTTTCCTTCATTAGTGAAAGACACCAAAATCAGGTCTTCTAGATCTATATTATTCTAAACTTCAACTTTCTGAAGCCTTGGATGTCTCACCTGCTGAATTATCATAATAATGACTCTTCTACATCCCCCTCCCGCAGGTGTGATGGGAAGATTGATTGAGATAAAGAAGGTGCTTTGAAAGTTAGGAGTCCTACACACACATAAGGTATTATTATTGCCAGACTTGTTAGAATGCAAGATCAGAGGGGTCTGGATGTATCTCTTGTTTGATTTGTACTGCATGTACTGTATCGTGGAAATTAAATAAACTCTCAAATTAATTGTGTTTTTAGAACTTCACTTTAGATGGCAACACACAAGTACTACTGGGGGTGTATATATGGGAGAAGGGACAAGAAGATCACCTGAACACTTAGTCTTTGAATGCTGTTCCTGGCAAAGTTGAGCCAATGACAAAACTAAAGTCAGAACTTCAGGTAAAAGATGTTTTAATTAAGTTATGTACCACTTACTTTCAGGCAACTAGGTAGCTCAGTGGATAGAATACTGAGTAAGTAACCCAGTAAGACTCATCTTCCTGGGTTCAAATCTGGCCTCAGACACTTATAGTGCGACCCTGGGCAAGTCACTTAGCTTTGTTTGCCTCAGTTTCCTCATCTGTAAAATGAGCTGGAAGAAGGAAATGGCAAATGATTCCCACATCTTTGCGAAGAAAACTCTAAATAGGGTCATGAAGAGCAGACACAACTGAAAAACAACTGAACAAAAAACCACTTACTTAGATAGCAGCATTCATGTGACTGGGTAACTAGTTGTTTCCTATTCCCAGAGATAGAAATGTGAGGCAGTTTACTGGGAAGAACTGACCTGGAAGGCAGAAGACCTACCTCTGCTGTAGACTCATGGTGCAGTCACTGAACAAATTGCTTTCCCTTCCTGGGCCTCCATTTCTTCTCTGTAAAATGAGGAGATTAGACTCGGTCCCATTTCTAGCTCTAACAATCTATGAGTACAATTCTGCTCAATTCGACTTAGATTCACCCCCTGCTTCAAGAGCTTTCTTTCATGGAGTTGTGTATGAGGAGTACAATTTAGTCAGTGCAACAACAACAACAACATTTCTTAACAATTAAGTACATTCTTAATGACACTTTGAAAAGATAAGAAGTCTCACACTACATATGATCATGCTTTTTTTTTTTGAGAGGGTAGAAGCTTTCAGAGGCTTTGCATAGTTGCTGTTTGGCAACTTAAAGCCTAAATACTTTAATCTCTGTAGCTAGGAAAAATTTTTAATCACTTGTTTTCTTATTTCTTGGAGTGGGCAAAAAAATATAGAATCAGAAAATGCAACTATCAGAATTAGAAGGAACTTCAGAGGTCATGTGGTCAGTCCCACCTCTATTTTTTAAAGGAGTCTTTACATCCTTGACTGCTGGTCATCCAAAGTCTGCTCCAACCTTCTTCATGATGGAGACCTTGTTGCCTTCTAAGGCAACCTTGTTGGACCGCTCTGTTAGGAAAGCAATACCCGCACCTTCCCTTCACTGATCCCCTTAATTCGGTGCTCTGTACTCAGGCATGCCATAAAGTGTGTCTTTCAGTAACTTCCAGGACAGAAAGAGAAGATTGCTCTGAGCCTGAGTTTCCTAGTCAATATCTCAACTTCAGTATATAGGATGTAAAAGTGATTAATGAAGAATTGGCACTCCAAGGCGACCAGTTTTCTTCCATTCTGAACATTATCATTTCACTCCACTGTCATTTGGAAGTCCCCAAATGCCTCCTCCACCTCAGCAAGTGCAGGATTCAGATTCTACTTAGAATTGTTTCTTTAAAGGCTTTGTCATTCTATGAAACTGGAAAAACCACTTGTCCCCTTTCCCTCCTAAAAGAGAAAGATTTTAAAATATCAGTTTTTTATATTTAATGGAAACTTATTCTTTCCTGAGATCAGCTTTTGAAAGATGTGGAAGGAAGGAGTATACACATGAGCTTTTTAGGCATCTGAAATGGTCAGAGAGGGACCAATGCTAGAAAGAATGGGGGAGGCTTGAGGAGCTGAATATCCATAAATTGATAATTGACGAAATTATGAGATGGGGACAGGCGTGTGCAGTTTTTTTGGGGATACTTGCCAGAAAAGACCACAATGGGTAGTGGGAAAAGGGGTGGCAATCACACTTTAATTAAACAGACAGAATGAGGGGAAAAAAAGCCTGTAAAAATAGACACAAGTGGTGAAAAGTGATACAGAGATAGATCTCATGGAAATGGCATGGGGTGGTGAAAGAAGGCAGGCAGCATGGGGAAAAGGATGGGGAGGGGGAAAAGGCAAAGAGTACCACTCATGTAACTATGGATTAAAATTGGGCAACATGGATCTGATGGAGATGGAAAAGTACTGGGGGATGAGGAAGGAGCAAGAGTTTGAAGTATCATTTTTATAGGTTTTTTTTTTGTGTGTGGAAATACACCAACTCTATGACACTTTGGGGTTAGTTCATTGACCTATCCAAATCATCTCAAAGTTGTCAGTAAAACTTTAAACATAACATCCTCGTCATCTCAAAGTTCTCCGCTCCCTCTTGATATTCTGCTTATCTGGAACCATGGAGGTCTGGATTTTGTCTGGAAATCATGTATCACAGGATCAGAACCTTGACACCAGCTCCTAGATGGTTTCTCCTGATCCAGCGCATATTATCAAGATATGAATTTTGGTTAGTATGTGAAACAATTTATAAACCATGCTTCCTTTGCTCTTTGAGGTGGTTTGTACATGAATTTCAGGCTTCCCTTTGCAATCTTACTTCCTGCTATTACCCCTTTATACGAGCTTCCTATAAATTTACTGACAATATAGACTAGGAGGGGTGGTAGTTAGGGGGACCAGAATAAGGTACAATTTTAACCCAATCCACTTCATCTATTGCCTAATTTTACCACAGCTAAGCCCTGCTTAAACACATTTCTAGCTGAAGCCTAAGTAGTTAGGAATTCAATTTTCCCTAGGCTTGCATATCTCAATATCAATCCTCTAATCAAATACTAACTTTTTTTTTTAAAGCTACACATAGGTAGCTTCGAACAAAAAGCTTGGTTACTCTGCCAAGAGCTGTATTGAAACGTCTTGGCTATATGACTACTTACCCTCAGATGAGCAAGACATAACTTAGAAGGTGATGATTTGGTGGGGAGAGATGGGCAAGAAGCAAGGAGGGTAAGGGGATAAAAAAGGAGAGGATAGACTCCTATTTCAGAGGGAAAATAATAGGACCATACATTAAGAACTAGAAATGACTTTAGAGATCATCAAATTCAACCATGTGAAACAGGTTAAGTGACTTCCAGGGTCTTAGGTGGTACCTGAACCCAGATCTTCTGGGCTCCAGTTTGAGCACTCTGTACTGCACTCTACTGACTCAGTATTCTGCTACTGAGATGAGAGTGTTCTTGGAAATGGGAATGCAACATAAGAATCATGCCAAAGTTCATAAAGAAATGGTTATTTTGACTGTCATTCAGTTCAACTTAGACTCCCAGAATATAAGAACTAGAGTGGACTTTAGAGATAATCTAGATCAGGGTCAGCAAACTCTAATCCATCCTCTAAGTGCAACCTGAGATAAGAATGCCTTCTCCATTTTTAAATACAATTATTATTATTGTTATTATTATTATTTTAATGTAAAAGCCATTTTTAACTGATGGATGTACAAAAACCAGGCAGAGGACCAGATTTGGTCCTTAGGCCATAGTGTGCTGACTCCAGATCTAGACGGACCACCTTACCTCTTTTGAAGATGAGGAAACTGAGGCCCAGAGAAGAAACTGCCTGAGGTCATGAAGTTAGCAAATGTTTCTTCTAACTCCAAGCCTGGTGTTCTTCAGTGGATTTAGGTAGAGATTTAAGAAAAGTTAAGTCAACAAGCACATTTTACATGTATTAATGTTGAAGTTTAGAGTTGGGAGAGTGGTTCCAGTGTGAAAGAATTCACTTAGACCTTCTCTGTAGCCACTGGTGATGAGTTCAGGGTAGACCCCCAAAATTTTGGGGTGCTACCCGAAATGATGAAGAATAAATGTACGAGTCCTAGTGTCCTGAAAGAATTCACTTAGACAGTGTCCAAGTTAAAGAAAGGCATTTACTGGGGTGATGTACCCAGGCAGGCCTGCTTCCCATGAAGCAGAGCCCCAATGGGCTGTACTCCACGTGGGAGGCAGAGCATAGGCCACAGACCCTGCTCCCCTAAGGGAGTAGTGTGGCCCCTGCTTCCTATAGAAGCAAAGGCGGTTAGCTAGGTCAAAGGCATGGTTTAAATACAATTTTATGGAATAAGGAGAAGGGGGACAAAAGAATGGGAGGAGCAAGCATGGCTCCCAAATTCCTGGGATATCAGGTGGTCCAGAGGTGATAAGCAAAGAGAACAGGAAAGGGGAGGGGAAGAGTTGTTCTGGAATTTAGGGTGCTTTGTGAAGGCACACACGTAAGTCCAAGGTGGGGGCTTCAATGCATAGTCTTTTTTGATCACTTTTCTGGCTGGTCACATCCTGCATCTTATCTCTTATCTCATGTCCTACTTGCTCCATCTGCCTCGAGCATTCTTTTCTACATCACTAAGTCCTGGTGATACAAAGAAAGGCAAAAAATAGACTTTGTTCTCAAGGACTTCAGAATCTAATTGGGGAAGCAACATGAAAAGAGCTATGGGCAAACAAAATATAATCAAGATAAATTGGAGATAATCAACAAAGGGAATTCACTAACATTAAGTGGGATTGAGAAAGGCTTCTTGCAGAAGATGGGATTTAGCTGGGACCCACAGAAAGTCTGGGAAGCCTGGAAACAGAGATGAGAAGTGAGAGAGTTACATGCATGAAGGACATTCAGTGAAAATTACAGGAATTAGGAATGGAGTTACATCTGCAAAGAACAACAAGGAAGCTAGTACCATGCTGCTTTTAAAACTACTATCATTCCTTGTATGTTGT